ACCATCCTTTCCCTTCACGGACAGGTCGCCACCTGCCTGTGAACCAAGCAAACCAGCCAGTATCTGTAGTATGGTTACAATTTGAGAGATTCCCCACCAAAGCTGTAGAACCTCCACAGTCTATCATCATTCCCATCCTTTTTGGTGGGCTACACCTCTCTATAGAGGTGTAATACTTTTCACCTGGATTGGGGTTCGTTATTCTGAGTCCTTGCTTTTGAGCGTGATTCCCAAAGAAGCTGGTATTTACCCATAGGTTCCATGATATTTTGTAGGGGATAGGTACGCCAGTTAAGGAGATCTCAAATTTTTCTCCTGATTTAGGCAGTTGAGTACAGACCCAACATTTGCTTTTGTTAAGAGCACTGGTTACATTTTGCACTAATGTCAAATACCAGTTCTGATCCCATGCCCTTATGTTCACAGTCACATAAATCCAAATCACGATTGACAGAGTCTCACACATGTAGGTCCTGAAGACTCGACACACCAGCAGTGCTCCCTCAACACATTTCACATCTGGGACACCCATTCTGCACCAGGACATCAGCCTCAGCTCCACAATACCTTAAAAAATAGGGTTATGGTTAAGGCTAGAGAGCCACAAAGCCAACAGCTCCAGAGATACTGCAGCTGCTAAAGGCATGCCAAGGGGAGCACGGCACTGCACCAACATTGCTCCCTCAACACCTTTCACATCTGGGACATCCATTCTTCTGTAGGATGTCAGGCTCAGCTCCAAGATGCCTTAAAAATTAAGGTAATCTTTATGGTTAGGATTCAGAGAGCTGCCAAGCCTACAGGTCTAGGGATCCTCGTGCAGCAAGGAGAAATAAATTCCATTTACCTCATTCTGCAGCACTGTGAGGTCCATGTAGGCTCTCCCTGGTATTAGTACTGCTGGTCTTGGTTTTGCTTTTGACCTCTTCACCTAGGGTATTCCATTTCCCTTCTTCACAGCAATCATAAATTGTCACTGTTCTGTATGCAGAAGGGCTCCTTATTTCTCTGGCACTGCAGCTTCCAAGTCTACAAACAACTAGATGGAGGCAACCACCACTAACTCAAGAATATACCCAGGTAATCCTGTGAGATACATACATTGCAAAAGACCATCCTAGTAAAATAGAAGAGGAGGAATGGTGTTTCTGTTTCTGCCTGACAGAGCAGCAGGCCCATACTATAACTACACAATGACGAATGCAGCAAGTGGGATGTGCGAACACTTACATTTCCAGCTCAAATACCAACACATTTCTGGGCATGCTGCTGAAGTCAGTGCACGAGTCCAACCTTTCTGGCTCAGATCACTAAATAAATTTCACACCACTCTGCTGATACGTGTGCTGAAAGACAGGAGAAAAACAAGCAGCAGAACATCTGAGGCCAAGCAAGTCACAAATCTAAAGGTAACACCCAAATGGCCACAGGTTAGAGAGAGACATAAGAGGGAACAAAGTGTCCCTTGGGTCCATCCTACAGAAGAGCTTGATGCAGCCTGCAAGTCTCATAAGAAGCTGTTTCCCTCTCAGCTGTTCATCAAAGAGCTGATTACAGTGTTTGAAGACCTCTTGCTCACTTCAAATGGTAGTTTCTAGATTCCAGATCACGATGTTGATTAATAATGCAGCTCTAAAGGCCCATCCGTTTCAAACATTTCTGTAAGGAAAAGAGCCATTTTGTCAGGATGCTGAGAAAAAAGGTTGGATGCCATCTTGAAAGAAGACAGTGTTTTGTTTAAAATGCAGAACTGAGAGTTCTTGATCAGTTACTTTCTGGTAGCAAGAATAATTTCTGTAGATACCACCCGGCTTTTCACAGAATCATAGAATACTTAGGGTTGGAAAGGACCTTAAGATCATCAAGTTCCACACCCCCTTGCATGGGCAGGGCCACCACACACTAGACCATGTCACCCAAGACTCTGTCCAACCTGGCCTTGAACACTGCCAGGGATGGAGCATTTACCACTTCTTTGGTCAGCCTGTTCCAGTGCCTCACTGTTATAAATGTGGCTCAAATAAATTGATGAGAACCAGACCAATGAATCAAATCGGTTTATTGAGCAAGCGACAGCAAGCAAAACAGCGCTGGGTGGCAGGGGAGTCTCTGCTGCGCCAACGGCGCACAACCCACTTCCCCAAAGTCACTGGTTTTATACTCTTCTTCATCCGATATACGTGTCACTTCCTGGTGTACTCTGCGTCTGTGTGGCCTGTTGATAAGGGGTCTCATTCTGCCTCCTGGTGGGTGTGGGGAGGAAGGCTCCTTATCTCCTTCCCCCATACATTGTTTACCGGATGCCTGTGGTCTATAAGCAAAATGTCAAAGTGTCGTAATTTTCCAGTAACTCTTAAGCAAGCAAGATTTGATTAACAAACAGGAATTTACTCATCACATCACCACCCTCACAGTAAAGAACCTCAGATACTGGAAGGCTGCTCTGAGGTCTCCACACAGCTTCTCTTCTCCAGGCTGAACAGCCCCAACTTTCTCAGCCTGTCTTCCTACGGGAGGTGCTCCAGCCTTCGATTTGCCTCCTCTGGACTTACTCCAACAGCTCCATGTCCTTTTTATGTTGAGGACACCAGAACTGCACACAGTGCTCCAAGTGGGGTCTTCTGAGAGCAGAGGCAGGATCACCTCCTCTGACCTGCTGGTCATGCTTCTTTTGATGCAGCCCAGTATACGGCTGGCAAAATGAGAGGGGTAAGAGAAGGCTTTTACAGAAACTGATATTTGGCAGCCTGTGTCCATGGTGGCAAATAAAGATAAAAGAGCTTCAAAAACAAGAGCACTTTTCATTTGTTTGGCTGCTCTTTTTTGTTTACGGCTTTGAAACGTTATAAGAATTCCTGCTCTAAACAATCACCCTCAGATTTTCAAGTCGCAGGCCGCCTTTGGCCAGATTTGACTGGCCCTGATGGCAGCAGAGGTGCTGTGCGAGCTGCCGGCTGAGCCGTAGGCAAAGCCTGACGCTTCCTCGGTGGTGGTTGCTTCCTAGATCCCCAGGAGCCGGAAGGTGGAGCCTGTAAGCGGGGCTGCTTCTGGAGGAAGACGCCAGAGTGAGGAGCGTGTGGACGCGTGGAGCGGCTGCCGGCCGGTTCCCTCCTGCGAGTCCGGCAGCAGCGCTCGGCACAGAGCTGGAGCCTGGGTTCAGGGTCACACCTCTTCTCTTCTGTTTCCTAACCTTGAAGTTATTGATAGCTTTATTAATCAATGTATGTGTTATTTATAGCTTTCTTCATTCATTTGTAGGTGATATTTCTAGCTTTATTCATAAATTTGTATGTTATTTATAGCTTTCTTCATAAATTGATTATATTTATAGCCTTATTTATAAATATATGTGTTATTTATAGCTTTCTTCATAAATTTGTATGTTATTTATATCTTTATTTATAAATTTATTGTTATTTTTAACATTATGGGTATTTATATTTATAGTGATATTAAATCTTATGGTTTAAATAGGCGTGTTTGTGCCTATTTAAACGTCCCCCCACATCTTCCACCTCCCCACCAGGCTATTTACGGTGGCATTTGAGAATTTCCGAGATTTGAAATGTCCCTTGAATACCCATGAAACCAACCTGCTCCTTTGCTGGGAACCAGCGTGTTGCTGTGCATGGTTCAGGTCTTGCTTAAGGGTAAACAGCGATGTGAGCATAACCCCCAGGCATCCTCCCCGAGGCTGTACAGTTACGAGTGGCAGGGGGTGTGGGATAGGATGGGCAAGTACCTGCAATGCTGTGGAACTTCACCCCTGAACTAGTGCAAAATGCAGGAAAACTACTCCATTAGCTGGGAAAAGCATCGTCCTGGCAATACCAGAGAGGCAAAATCACCACAATGTGCTGGGCCCTGTCCCATGCCCACCGAGCCCTGCTCAGCACTATCCAGTACCCTCAAGGAGAAAAAGTCCCTGGATCTCATGGCAGCACAGGGCCAGAGCTAGAAAGAGAGCAGGAGGGAGAAGCAGAGGGAAGCTGTCGCTCCCTGTCCCTGAGTGAGCTGTGGGATATACAGAAGGTTTTCAGCTGTGGTCCAGGTGAGCACATTATCACCTGGCTGCTCCGATGCTGCGATAATGGAGCTGGTAGCCTGGAATTAGAGGGCAGGGAAGCCAAGTAGCTGGGGTCACTTTGTAGGTAAGCAGGTGTTGACAAGGGAATGAGAAAAGGGACCCAAACCCTCAGGCTCTTGAGCCCCATTTGAAATCATTCTTCTTGCAGGTCACGTGATAGAGAAAGCTCACAACCAGACTGTAATTTGGGATGTGCATTCTCCAGACCCCACAACACCTGAGAAAGCTCATGTTTGTTTCTTACTGGTTGGTGGAGGCATTGCTGTTCCCTTGCTGCTCACGTCTGTGGGGATCTGGTGATGTCCGTCTTGCCATTTTATTCCCAAAACCTGAATCTCCCGGTCAGGTCCCTTGACCTTGCTCCATTCTATGGCAAAACCAGCCTTCAGAAGGATTTGGATTATTTTCCTCCTTTTCTAAAAATCTGCTGCTGCTGCTGCTGCTGTATGGTGTCACACCGTGAGGTTGTAATGTATTGCAGATGTTGTGGAGGTTCACCCAGTTTCAGTACATTCTGGATTAACCCATGGCAGACGGTAGGGCTGCCTTTCCAGCCCTGGGACAGTCAATTCCAAGTGTATTGGAGGGCCCTCCAAGTATCAGCAAACTGGCCTGCACTCTGCTGCCAAAGGGATTGAGACTGCATTGGCAACGTCAGTTGTGCCATCCCACTTGGCTGCCTTTGACTCCCCTGCCCCAAAGCAGGCTGGGATTCCCCGATTCCCTGACGTGCGAACGTCAGTCACTCTCCGCTGCTTGTAGGTGGCTGTGACGCCCCGTTCTGTTACCCAGGTTGAGCTGTGACCCCTCGCATGCTCCACCTCCGGACCAAAGGCGCTGAGGAAGAGCAACCCGTGAGGGACCTCCGTGAGCCAGCTGGGCAGAGGCTGGTCCCCCACCAGCCACCGGCACGATGCTGCCACCATCACAAAGCTGTGGCGGTTGCAGTGGAGAAGCCCATTGTGACGGGGCCACCACGGTGACCGTGGGGTATTTCAGGAGCGAGAGCCCTGGAGTGACCAGTGCAGAGGAGACCCCTCCCTCGGGAGGCTGTATCTCCCCTGGGTGCCCTATGGATCAAGGTATGTGTTGTGCTGAGAAGGGAGAAGAACAGCTCCTCTATTCCATTCAGCCATACAGAGATGTCTTTGCTGTTCCTAACAGTCATTTGAGGTTTGAATTGTTGAGGCATTTTCTTCTTAGCATCAGGTTCTGGACGTTAGCAGTTTGGGAGCTGGTTTCTGGTTAAGCAAAGAGTGCTATCCAAGGAGGATTTATAGAGAGTTTTCTATGAAGTTATAGACAGATAATTAAGTGGGGATATCCATGGTCCTGGCACTGTTTCAGAGGCACCTTGTGTAAAATAAGCCAAGCTCCTGGGTTCTGTCCTAACACATGAGGCTTAGGAGCAGGGTCAGGACATTTGCACTTAGGGTGCCTGTGTCTTGGTCACCGGAGAGTGGTGTCCAGTGAGGCTTTAGAGAGATGGAGTTTTAGGTGTGTAAGTAAGGGAGAATATCCATGTTGGAGGCACTATTCCAAGAGCAACCTGTGTAGAACGTGCCCAGCTCCTGGTTTCTCTCCTAACTCATTAGTCTTAGGAGTAGGGTCTGCACATTCGCACGCAGAGAGCTGGTGTCTCGGTCACCAGAGTCGTGTCCAGTGAGGCTATACAGGGATGGAGTTTTAGATGGGCAAATAAGTGAGGATATCCATGTTGGAAGCACTCTTCTGGAAAGACCCATATGTAGGATACGCCCAGCTCCTGGTTTCTGTCCTAGCAAATTAGGCTTAGGAGCAGGGTCTGGACACTGGGAGCTGGTATCTCAGTCACTGGTTGGTGGTGTCCAGTGATGCTTTACAGGGATGGAGTTTGAGGTGGGTAAGTAAGTGAGGATACCCATGTTGGAGGCACTGTTCTGGCGGGCTCCCTGCATAGAATGTGTCCAGCTACTTTTTTCTGTCCTAACACATTAGGCTTAGGAGCAGGGTCTGGACACTGGCACTTAGGGAGCTGGTGTCTCGGTCACCCAATAGTGGTGTCTACTCAGGCTTTACAGAGATGGAGGGTGAGTTGGGTAAATAAGTGAGGATACAGATGTCGGTACCGCTGTTCTGGAGGGATCCCTCTGTAGAATATGCCCAGCTATATCTTTCTGTTCTAACTCATTAGGCTTAGGAGTAGGGTCTGGACACCGGCGCTTAGGGAGCTCGTGTCTCAGGCACTGGAGAGTGGTGTCCGGTGAGGCTTTACGGAGACGGAGATTTAGGTGGGTAAGTAAGTGAGGATATCCATGTTGGTGGCACTGTTCCTGAGGGCTCCCTTTGAAGGACATGTCCAGCTCCTGGTTTCTGTCCTAAGTCATTAGGCTCAGAAGCAGGCTCTGGACATTTGCCCTTAGGGAGCTGGTGTCTCTGTCACCAGAGAGTGGTGTCCAGTGAGGCTTTAGAGAGACGGAGTTTTACATGTGTAAGTAAGTGAGAATATCCATGTTGGAGGGGCTGTTCTGGAAGGCAAGGCACCATATGTTGGACATACTCAGCTCGTAGTTTCTGTCCTAAGACATTAATTAGGCTTAGGAGCGGGGTTTGGACATAGGCACTTACGGAGTGGTGTCTCGCTCACCAGATACTGGTGTCCAATGATGCTTTACAGAGATTGAGGTTTAGGTGTGTAAGTAAGTGAGGATATCCATGCTGTTGGCACTGTTGCTGAGGGCTCCCTGTGTAGTACATGTCCAGCTCCTGGTTTCTGTCCTAAGACATTGGGCTTAGGAGCAGGTTCTGGACATTGGCACTTAGGGAGCTAGTGTGTTGGTCACCGGCATGTGGTGTCCAGTGAGGCTTTACAGGATTTTAGGTGTGGAAGTAAGTGAGGATATCCATGTTGTTGGCACTGTTCCGCAGGACACCCTGTTTATAACATGTCCAGCTATTTGTTACTGTGCTAACACATGAGGCTTAGGAGCAGGATCTGGACATTCACGCTTAGGGAGCTGGTGTCTCGATTACTGGAGAGTGGTGTTCTATGTGGCTTTACAGAGATGGACTTGTAGTTGCATAACTAAGTGGGAATATTCAAGTTGGTGGCACTGTTTTGGAGAGCACTGTGTGCAGGACATGCCCGGCTATTTGGTTTTGAACTAACACATTAGATTTCGGATCAGGATCTGGACATTCACACTTACGGAGCTGGGTTCTATGGTGCCTGAGAGCGCACTCTATTTAGGCTGGAGGCAGATGTACTTGTATGTGGCCAAGAAAGGGTGGATTGCCATGTTGGTGGCACAGTTCCAGAGGGCTCCCTGTGTAGGTGATGGGCAGCACGAGCTTTCCGTCCTGGCACATCGGGTGTCAGAGCAGGTTCTGGATGTTTAAAGACTGTGAGCCACGTTCCTGGACACCTGTGTGCATTCAGCAGAGGGGCGGAACGCAGATGGTGGTTTTGGTGGCAAACAAGGTCTCTTTGCCGTGTTGGCGGCACCGTTCTGCAGGTCTCCCTGTGTAGGTGATGCTCAGCAACTGCTTTCTGTCCTGGTACTACGTGCTTGGGAACAGCACACCAAAGTGATTCAGCAGAGGGTCAGTGCCTTCTGTTCGTTTATGAGGGAGAGTTTAGTGCTGCCTTCTTCCTTGAGGTCTAAGAACAACAGCATGGCAGAGAAAGGAGCTAAGGAAAAGTGGAAGGGATTTGCCTGCTGCCCTTAGAGTGGTATGCAGGAAGAAAGTTGGCTCTTTTCTGGAGGTCTTAAAGCTCTGAAGAATTACTTTGACCTGGCACGATGGGAATGGTAAGGAATAAGGGGTGGATACTGTCTTGGTTTTGGCTGGGCTACAATTGCTTCTCTTCCCTGTGGCTGGCGCAGTGCTGCGTTCTGGCTTGGTTCTGGGAAGCACGCTGGTAGCACGGCGATGTTTTTAGCTGTTGCTCAGTAGCTCTTCGGCTGAGCAAGGACTTTGCGGTCTCTCCTGCTCTGCCAGTGAGGAGGGGCACGGGAAGCCATGAGGAAGCAGAGGCAGGACACCTGACCCAAGGCAGCCAGAGGGGTATTCCATAGCAGAGCACGTCATGGCCAGTGTAGAAACTGGGGGGAGTCAGCCGGGAGGCGCAGATCGCCGCTCGGGTCAGGCTGGGTGGGTACCGCTGAGCGGGTGCCGAGCAATTGCGTTGTGCATCCCTGCTGGTTCGTGTTTCCCTTTTCCCTGTCTAGATGTAGAGGAGCAAAGTTTGTTGGAGAGCTGTTCATAGCGATGAGATTTGAGCTTTTGTCTTGGTGCTGCAGGTTTGGTTTTTAACTTGTTGTCACGCTTTTGTTCTTGGGGCTGAGGGACCGGGGAGCGGCCGAGGGGAGCGGCGGGGCTGGGGGAGCGGGCAGGCGCTGCGGGCCCGGCGGGCTCTGGCGGTGCTGCGGGTGCGGCTGTGCCGAGGGGGTGGCGGGGCCGGGGCCGGCGGGCTGAAGCCGGTCCCGGGCCGGGCGGCGCGCGGGCCGGCGGCGCTCCCCCAGCGCGGGCCGACGGGGCCGGGCGTTGCCCGGCGGCCGCTGGAGCGAGAGCGGTCGGTGCGTCCGTTGTCGGGGAGCGCCATGGAGGGCCAGCGGCTGCCCGGCGCTGTCAATCCCAGCCACTTCCCGGCCAAGCTCTGGCAGCTGGTGAACAGCCCGCGCTGCGGCTCCGTGCGCTGGGATGCCCGCGGCGAGGGGCTGCTCATCGACCAGCGGCTCTTCGAGCGAGAGCTGCTGGGCGCGGAGGCGGCCGGCGACGGGGCGGCCCTGGGCGGCGAGTTCTTCAAGACCAGGAACTTCGCCAGCTTCATCCGCCAGCTGAACCTGTACGGGTTCCGCAAGCTGGGGCCGGGCCCCGGGCCCCTGCAGGACCCGGCGGGGGGCGATGGCGGCAGCTCCGCGGGGGCCCTGCTCCACTTCCACAGCCCCCATTTCCGCCGCGACCGCCCCGACCTCCTGCTGCGCCTCAAGCGCCTGACGAGCGCCAACAAGGCGAAGCTGGCGGCCGGCCTGGAGCTGCCCAGCCGCCCGGCCCAGCGCTCCCAGCGCCCGCCCTCGACGCTCGGCGAGGCTGCCAGGCCCGGTGAGCTGGGGTGGTCCCGGGCTGCGGGGCCCCGAGAAGCACTGGGTGCTGCGGGGTTTCTAGATCGGCACCCCCGCAGGCAGCAGGCTTGCCTGACCTTGCTGGCGGCCGCTCAGCTCCGCCGCTGCGGGAAAGCCGTTGTCGTCCGTGCAGGGAGATGTGCTGCCCGCAGGCACGGGGAGCGCGGTCCGCGTGTGGTTCCGTCTGCCCCTCGGCTGCAAGACAGCCTCTGTCGGGGGCTGCAGTTAAGAACACCCTCACCCTGGCTCTGTGGAGCTGGCGCAGCCCTACCAGGTGAACGTTACTTCTCCTTGGAGGGTTGCTCCATAAGCTGTCGTTAAATCTCTCGGAAGCCACGGGTAAACCCTATGAGGGCAAGTACCATTTCATGAAACCGTCACCGACTGAGAGAGGAAACCAGGGAAGGTTAAAGGGAATCTCTTGGAAGTAACAAAACGGCAAAGCCTGAGCTTTTTCAGACTCAACCGGTTGAGCTACCTGGAAAACAAGCTGGCTTTGGTTTTGTTTTCCTTGACAAACTGAAGGACTTGTGATCAAGTGCTCTCAGAGTCACGTTCAGGATTTGGACATTGCCCTTGCCTTGGCTGCCTGTGTGCTGGCAGCACTGGAGTTCGGTAGAGCCCCGCTTCACCATTCCCCCTTTATTTTACCTAACTCCCTGATGTAACGCGCAGCACTCCCTAAACGGCTTGTGCCGCTTTAGTCAGCTCCTGCCCATTTTGATTTATAATCGCGCATTTCTCAGTAGCGATCACTTGCTCCTGAGGGTTTCGGGAGACTGAATGCTCCAGGGATGACTGTGTGTTGGCACAGCACTCGTGTTCCTGCGTGTTCAGGTGGTAGTGCTACAGCAGTTCCTGTATGCTTAGGTGTAAGAATAGAGTCTGTTTCTGGATTAAGAGTATTGGAGCAAAGGTGGTCTTCCCAGGGAACGTTGTGGAGCCTTGGCTCCTCATCCTGCCTTTCAGGGCTAATGAAAACTCCTTCCCTTAGTCCTTGTTTCCCTTTGTTTTGCAGGACTGGTGACCGCAGGACAGGCTCCTCAACCTTGCCGTCCAGACAGCTGCTTTCCGCCCTCCAACAGAGCGGCCTCGTGCCAGGACCCCCCTGCTTTCCAGGCAACAACTTGCCGGCAGCCTTCCAGACCACGGCAGGGTTCTGTTGGGTCGCTGCCAGGGCACGGGGCTTCCCCAGCTTTCCCAGGCTAAGGGGCTCCCTTTCCTGTCGTCCACAAGTGCTGCACAGAGGTCACGTACACTCTCCAGACCGTGTGCTCGCTTCTGCCGCTTCAGCGAGGCGCTCCGGCTGGTGCTGCCCTTCCAGAACCCGGCAGCTGCGCGTCTCCAGGGCAGCGCTTGCAAGGCCCGGATCCAACGGGTACGGCAAAAGTTCTCCGCTTGCTGCTCGAGAAGTTCCTGCCAAGTGATGCATGAAATGTTTTTCCTCAGTGCTCTGTCACTGCGTGTGTGTATCTGACGTGTGTGCTCCCAGTGAGACGTGTGTTCCCTGTCCGTTACTTGCTACCAGCCAGTGGCAGAATGTGCTCTAGCTGCTCATTTCTTCTGGCTCTGATGAGATGAACTGTATCAGAGACAGGAGAGCTTAGAAATGCCTTCTCTGCAATGAGCAGGGAAGGACAAAAGCGTGTGGCTGAAACAGGTGTGTGTGGAATCTTGATTCAGCTGGAAGACTTGAAGTATTACAACTGAATTGGCCCCTTTGCCTTTGCTGGCCGAGCCCATCAGTGGGATTTCCGCAGGTGCATTTTTTCTTGCTATTGGATCAGGCACTGCTGCAGCTGGCAAAAACCCCCAAGAAAAGGTGTTGTGGGTGCAGACCATTCTTTCTGTGCACCCTTCTGCACTTTGGACCCGTTCAGAATTGGTCACCAGTCTGGGCTGCTACACGGTTATGTTTGTTCTCCTCCCCTTGAGGGACAGGCATTACAGCGCGTTTGATTCACGAGTTGCTTTCACTATAAGCTCTACTAAGTGCAAGAGTTGTGCAATTTCTACTGTACTTGTAGCTTTTTATAGCCTGTGTTCTGGACTTTGTGTTTTACACTTGCCTCCTGTTTCACAAGCGCTTTTTCCCTTTGCGTTCTTCCTTTTCTTCTCTTAGGAGCTAGGCTCTTTGTACTGCGTGTTTGTTTCCTTAGGATCACTCCAGCAGGTTACAGCCAGTTCTCTCCTTTGCTCTCTCGCCCTGTTTTTACAGTAGCCCTTTAGGTTTCTTTGGTGGTTTCCTTGGCTTTGTCAACATCCTTTGGCGTTCCCAGGGACTGTCATTCAATTTTTGGCACAACGCAGAACAGTAATATGTTTGCAGGTCACAGAGTGTTCTTCCGAAGGATGTCCAGATTTCATCCTAAGGTTGCTCAGAACGAGCTTTTGAGGTAACAGGAGTCAGACGCGTGTCTCATGCTGCTGTGGAAGGATGTCCACGAGCTCGCTCCCTGTTGTTTAGCTCTTGTGTTTGTTGCTCCAAACTGGACAAAAGTTCCTCGGTTTCGTATGAAAAAGGGCCCTAGGTATAGGTATTAAAATCCATATTGGTTATCGTAGCAAGTGTCTCGTGAGGAATCCCGCGTCGGAGTGAGGCATTGGAAAGAAACGGGTCTGATCACGTGGCCGTCTCAAGTCACACTTGTACCATTTAATTACTGTGAACACTGGCCTGGATTTGATTTCACCAAGGATTTCTGTCTCGCCCAGAAGGACTGCAAATTTTAAAGATTCTCTGTCCTGCCAGTAGTGCCTTTCCTTGTAAGTTCTCTCTGCGTGTCACCAAAACCTGAGACCCGCAGAAACTGCTTCATCTACAGAGCTGCTCTTTGGAATAAGATCCCATTTTCATTCCTGTGTGTGTGTGTGTGAACATGCAGGCGCCCTTCTTGTGCGAATTCCCTTTGCGTGGCGTGTTGTGTTGAGACAGTCGAGCAGCCAAATTCAAAAAGGTGATATTAAGACAGAGGAGAGTGAACATTTCGATTCTCTGTGTGTGTGTGTGTGTGTGTGTGTTGGTTAATTCTACAAGACGTATGTTTGATCTTTGTCTACACAGTTTAGAAGAAATATGTTTTAAGGTGGAGAACTCAGTCTTACAATCAGCGGGGAGGTCATACTCCATTTCAGGGAGTGAGCTTACGGAGTGGTTACTGCAGTGTTTAATGCAAGTAGACGATAGAACTGTGCGCCCTGGGCACCAGTTCTGGCAGTCTGATCCCTGCGTCTGAATTTTGCAGGCACCCCGCCGTGTTCGCCCCCTGCCCAGGGAGGGCCTCTGACTGTCAGCGCCAGTGCTGCGGCTGCGGCGTCCACCGACTGCGTCTTTGTGCAGGTGAGTGCAGCGCACAGAGAGCAGGGGGAAGGGAGGAGACGCCATGCATGGACCGCAGGGTTCTGGGCTTGCTTTGAAACAGGAAAGGGGCAGTGCTGTAATGCAGGTAAGGTTGCGGGGCAGCGGCATAGTGGGTGTCCTCGTCGGCGGAGTGTTTTTTCCTGTGAAACTGTTGTGCTTGACTTCACCGTAATTCATTCGCTTTAGTTCACGAGTCTCCATTTATCTTTGAAGAAAGTCCTTGCCTGCACAAAATGGGATTGTTTACTGTTGTAATACTGGGAATGAGCTCCACTCCTGTGCCCCACACAGCTTGTGGCAGTCCTGAATTTCATTGGACGCATGAGAAGAACCAAGCTGACTTTTGGAATTGGCCCCAGCTCAGAGCTATCCTATCTAGGAGAGCTCCAGTGCTTCCTGTCAATGCTTTCTAGAATTCTGGTGGAAATTACACCTTATTGGGTGGCACGGTTTATCAAATAGCAAACGAACCTCAGTAAAAATGCCAGGGCTTCCTTTTGCATTCCAGCAGCACGGAGATACTTTTTTTCCTCACAGGGTATAAGCAAAGCACGCTCTGGTGGTGTGTGTTGAGAAAGGGTTGACCTGTGCAAGCCTGCTCATCCAGTTTCTCGTGTTGCAAATACCAACCTTTTGTCCTTTTTGCATGTTTTTCTGTTTTCATACGAGCTTACCCGAGCTGGGCAGGTTATGGCCAGGGTAACGTTGCTGTAAGGCTGGAAATAGCCAAGAGCCAGTCGTGCCATTGATAGGCTGGTATTTATTTTTCACGCAGTGCGTCTTTGTCCTCTCACTTCCATTGTGAGCTGCTTTTCCCTCCAGCACATGAGGATCAGTGTGAGTGATGGGAAGTCACAATCGCATCAGTTCTGATGTCAGAAGGCTGAGATCAGTGTCTGGGATGGCACATGGTCCCAAAGGAGTCGTCACGGGGCGGTGGTGTGGCTAGATTGAAATGTAATGGCAATACACCGTCGAAAGGGTCTTCCTTTGAGAAGCAAGTCCATGGAGTCAGAAGAGATGGACTGGTTACTTAACCAGGAAGTGGCCTGGTAACTTCCTGGTTAACCACGTCCTGGTTAGCGGTTGCTTGGATTATGCGGCCGCAGCCAGGGAACTGGCACTCAAAAGCTGCTGGCGCATCTGGGCAGAGCTTGGTGGAAGGTCCCCTGCGTGTGAGCAGCCCAAAGGCAAGCAGGGGTGTAAAGCAGTGGTGCCAGGTCAGTGCCTGGCTGCCTCTGAGCAGGACGACACGAGCAGTGTACAGAAGGGATCAAAAGGGCTTGAGGTTTCCGAGCCTTAGTGTAGCCTCGATCATTTCTCCTGGAGCAGGGTGGCAGGGGCTGTGCAGGTGGTACAGAAGACAGTGCTTTGCCTGTGGATCTCACTGAGCTCTGGCCAATAATCAGCTTACCTTGTGTGTGCTCTGGGGCAGACACTTCCCCAAGGTCCTGCTGAGGGATGCAGCCAGCTACAGCATTGATCGTCCTGCCCTGCTTACGTACTGACCATCAGTAAGCACTTGCACAGTCCTCAGAAGCAGTCAAATCCATCAGCCCTGACTGAAAATGGCTGTGATTTTTCGATCTAGAAATTCCCTGTATTTTGTTTCTCGCAGAGTCCTGAATTGCAGCCGCTTTCTGCAGCTGAATGCCTGCCCTCCGATGGGGCACATCATGCATCTGAGGAGGAGGAGGTGTTGCCGGAATTAAGTTATGAAGATGTGTTTCAGTTTCTCAGTGAGATGTATGCATCAGACTGCGCCGACGTAGTGACACCGGAGCCTGCAGAAAGCTGGGGTGGAGAGCTGTTTGAAAGCTACATCAGTGCGGCCATAGAAAGCGCTGCTGCTGCTGCTGGAACGGCACAAGACTGTGTGAGCACCCAGGGAGCCCCTGAACACCCGGATCACAGCCCAGCTCAACTATCCGAAATGTTTGTTGCGGAAGGACTGTTTTGTGCGGAGCAAGTAAGTGCTAAACGGAGGTAAAACTCCCCGGGAAACTATTGAGTGACCTTTGGGTTTATTTCGTTTTTTGGTGTGTTTATTTAAAGGAGAGTGGGAGTGTTAAATGCGGATCTGCGACGGAAGAGAGAGAGCTGACTTCAGGAGCCGAGGAAGAGAACAAAGCTGCAGAAGAGGCAGGGTCCCCTGCAGAGCCTCAGTGCAGGAAGAGAAGACACAGCTCACAGCAGGGTAAGTCCCTGCTAAGAGAGCCTGCCTTTTTTAGAGGTGGCCAAGACAGCTGCTCTGAAACTCTTGCGGGAAGGGGAGATCCCAAGAGCTGAGTTATTGTCTGCAGTGCAAGTACCTCACTGGGCCTCCAGTTCAACTATTACACTCGCACGAGCTGTCGGCGTACTTGCCGACGCGCTTCGATAGATAAGCTGGTGGTGAGGACTCCTAGGTGGACAAGGGAATAAATTCTATCAGTCAGTAAAAGCTGAAGCTGTGGGAGTTGTGTGAGAGCCCTGCATGTCACAGTACACAGCAGTGAGATGCAGGCTGTGGATGCGTTGGCTGGAGGGTGACAGTGCCACAAAGGGAACACTGACTAAAGAGCTGACTGTTGAAGTAAGAGGGGAAAACGCCACCACGCTGCCCAAGTGAGTGCCCGAGCGCAACCTTTGTGGCTCAGATCACTAAATAAATGTCACAGCAGCCTGCTGATCCGTGTGCTGCAACACAGGAGAAAAACACGCTCAGATTTTCAAGTCGCAGGCCGCCTTTGGCCAGATTTGACTGGCCCTGATGGCAGCAGAGGTGCTGTGCGAGCTGCCGGCTGAGCCGTAGGCAAAGCCTGACGCTTCCTCGGTGGTGGTTGCTTCCTAGATCCCCAGGAGCCGGAAGGTGGAGCCTGTAAGCGGGGCTGCTTCTGGAGGAAGGCGCCAGAGTGAGGAGCGTGTGGACGCGTGGAGCGGCTGCCGGCCGGTTCCCTCCTGCGAGTCCGGCAGCAGCGCTCGGCACAGAGCTGGAGCCTGGGTTCAGGGTCACACCTCTTCTCTTCTGTTTCCTAACCTTGAAGTTATTGATAGCTTTATTAATCAATGTATGTGTTATTTCTAGCTTTCTTCATTCATTTGTAGGTGTTATTTCTAGCTTTATTTATAAAGATTTATGCTATTTAGAGCCTTATTTATAAATATAGGTGTTATTTCTAGCTTTATTTATAAATATATAGGTTATTTATAGCTTTATAAATTTGTTATTTATAGCTGCATTCATAAATTTATATTCCACTTATAGCCTTATTTATAAATTTGTTACTTAGAGCTGTATTCATAAATTAATATTATAGCTTCATTCATAAATTTGTCTATTATTTATAGCTTTATTAATAATTTTTTTATTCATAGATTTATATTTACAGCTTTATAAATTTGTTACTTAGAGCTGTATTCATAAATTAATATTATACTAATAGCCTCATTCATAATTTTTTATATCATTTATAGCTTTATTAATAATTTTTTAATTTATAGCTTTATTCATAGATTTCTATTCTATTTATAGCCTTTTTTATAAATTTGTTACTTAGAGCTGTATTCATAAATTAATATTATACTTACAGCCTCATTCATAAATTTGTCTATTATTTATAGCTTTATTAATAATTTTTTTATTCATAGATTTATATTTATAGCTTTATAAATTTGTGACTTATAGCTGTATTCATAAATTAATATTATACTTATAGGCTTATACATAAATTTTTATATCATTTATAGCTTTATTAATTTTTTTATTTATAGCTTTATTCATAGATTTCTATTCTATTTATAGCCTTATTTATAAAATTGTTACTTAGAGCTGTATTCATAAATTAGTATTATACTTATAGCCTCATTCATAAATTTGTCTATTATTTATAGCTTTATTAATAATTTTTTATTTCTAGTTTTATTCATAGATTTATATTATATTTACATCTTATTTATAAATTTGTTACTTAGAGCTGTATTCATAAATTAATATTATACTTATAGCCTCATTCATAAATTTGACTATTATTTATAGCTTTATTAATAATTTTTTTTATTCACAGATTTATATTATATTTATAGCTTTATAAATTTGTTACTTAGAGCTGTATTCATAAACTATTATTATACTTATAGCCTCATTCATAAATTTTTATATCATTTATAGCTTTATTTATAATTTTTTATTTATAGCTTTATTCATAGGTTTATATTATATTTATAGCCTTATTTATAAATATACATGATATTTATAGCCTTATTTATAAATTTGTTACCTAGAGCTGTTTTCACAAATTTGTATTATACTTACAGCCTCATTCATAAGTTTGTATGTTATTTACAGCTTCATTAATAATTTTTTTATTTATAGCTTTATTCATAGACATATTTATAGCCTTATTTATAAATTTGTTACTTAGGGCTGTATTCATAAATTAATATTATACTTATAGCCTCATTCATAAATTTGACTATTATTTATAGCTTTATGAATAATTTTTTATTCACAGATTTATTCGTAGATATATATTTATAGCTTTATAAATTTGTTACTTATAGCTGTATTCAGAAATTATTATTATACTTATAGCCTCATTCATAAATTTTTATATCATTTATAGCTTTATTTTTTTTTTAATTTATAGCTTTATTCATAGATTTATATTTATAGCCTTAATTTGTATGTCACTTATAGCCTTATTTCTAAATATATGTGTTATAGCTTTATTTATAAATTTATATGTTATTTATTGCTGTATTCATAATTTTTTTATTTATAGCTTTATTCATAGATTTATATTTATAGCCTTATTTCTAAATATATGTGTTATAGCTTTATTTATAAATTTATATGTTATTTACAGCTTTATTCATAAATTTCTGTGTTATTTAGCACTTTTTTCAGAATTTTGTATGTTATTTATAGCCTTATTTCTAAATATAGGTGTTATTTATAGCTTTATTTATAAATATATAGGTTATTTATAGCTTTATACATTTGGTATTTATAGCTGTATTGATAAATTTATATTAGATTTATAGCCTTATTTTTAAATTTGTTACTTAGGGCTGTATTCATAAATTTATATTATACTTGTAGCCTTATTCATAAATTTGTGTATTATTTATAGCTTTATTAATATTTTTTATTTATAGCTTTATTCGTAGATATATATTATATTTATAGCTTTATGAATTTGTTACTTATAGATGTATTCATAAATTAATATTATACTTATAGCTTCAGTCATAAATTTGTCTATTATTTATAGGTTTATTAATATTTTTTTTATTTATAGCTTTATTCATAGATTTATATTATATTTATAGCCTCAATTTCTATGTTACTTATAGCTTTCTTCATGAATTTGTATGTTATTTAAGCCTTATTTATAAACATGTGTGATAGCTTTATTTATAAATTTATGTTATTTATAGCTGTATTCATAATTTTTTAATTTATAGCTTTATTCATAGATTTATATTATATTTATAGCCTTATTTTTAAATATATGTGTTATAGCTTTATTTATAAATTTATAGGTTATTTATAGCTTTATTCATAAATTTAGGTTATTTATAGCTGTATTCATATTTTTTATTTATAGCTTTATTCATAGATTTATATTATATTTATAGCCTTATTTATAAATATATGTGTTATAGCTTTATTTCTAAATTTATATGTTATTTATAGCTTTAGTCATAAATTTCTATGTTATTTAGAGCTTTTTTTCATAATTTTGTATGTTATTTATAGCCTTAGTTATAAATATGTGTTATTTATAGCTTTATGTTTAAATTTATGTGTTATTTATAGCTGTATTCATAATTTTTTGATTTATATCTTTATTCATAGTTTTCTATTATATTTATAGCCTCAATTTATAGGTTACTTATAGCTTTCTTCAGGAATTTGTATGTTATTTATAGCCTTAGTTATAAATATATGTGTTATTTATAGCTTTCTGGATAGGTTTGTTTGCTATTTATAGCTTTATCCATCAATTTATATGTTATTTATAGCCTTAGTTGTAAATATATGTGTTATTTATAGCTTTATGTTTAAATTTATGTGTTATTTATCGCTGTATTCCTATTTTTTTATTTATAGCTTTATTCATAGATTTATATTATATTTATAGCCTCAATTTATATATTACTTATAGCTTTCTTCAGGAATTTGTATGTTATTTATAGGCTTATTTATAAATATAAGTGTTATAGCTTTATTTATAAATTATAGGTTATTTATAGCTTTATTCATAAATTTAGGTTATTTATAGCTGTATTCATAATTTTTTATTTATAGCTTTATTCCTAGATTTATATTATATTTATAGCCTTATTTATAACTATATGTGTTATAGCTTTATTTATAAATTGATGTTATTTATAGCTTTATTCATAAATTTCTATGTTATTTAGAGCTTTTTTTCATAATTTGGTATGTTATTTATAGCCTTATTTATTAATATATGTTATTTATAGCTTTATTCATTTTTTTATTTATAGCTTTATTCATAGATTTATATTATATTTATAGCCTTATTCATCAATTTATATGTTACTTATAGCTTTCTTCATTAATTTATATGTTATTTATAGCCTTATTTATAAATATATGTTATTTTTAGCTTTATTCATTTTTTTATTTATAGCTTTATTCTTAATTTTGTATGTTATTTATAGCCTTATTTATAAATATATGTTATTTTTAGCTTTATTCATTTTTTTTTTATTTATAGCTTTATTCTTAATTCTGTATGTTATTTATAGCCTTATTTATAAATATATGTGTTAGAGCTTTATAAATTTGTATGTTATTTATAGCTTTAAAATTTGTTATTTATAGCTGTATTCATAAATTTATATTATATTTATAGCCTATAAATTTGTCTATTATTTATAGCTTTTTTTCCTAAATTTCTATGGTACTTATAGCTTTATAAATTTGTTACTTATAGCTGTATTCATAAATTTATATGATGCTTATAGCCTCATTCATAAGTTTGTATACTATTTATAGCTTTATTCCTAAATTTTTAGGTTATTTATAGCCTTTTTTACAAATATATGTTATTTATAGCTTTCTTCATAAATTTGTATGTTATTTATAGCTTTATCCATCAATTTCTGTGTTCTTTACAGCTTTATAAATTTATTTGTTATTTCTAGCCTTATTTATTAATATAGGTTATTTACAGCTTTCTTAATAAATTTATGTGTTATTTATAGCTTTATTCATTAGTTTGGATGCTACAGCTTTATTCATAATTTTTTATGTTATTTATGGCTTTATTTTTAAATTAGTATGTTATTTATAGCTTTATTTATAAATTTATATGATATTCATAGCTTTATTAATAAATTTATACGTTATTTATAGATTTATTCATAATTGTAGATGTAATTTATAGCTTTGTTAATAAATTTGTATCTTATGCCTTTATTAATTTGTTATTTATAGCTTTATTAGTGTATGTTATTTAGAGCTTTCTTCATAAATTTGTATGATATTTATAGTTTTATTAATAAATTTAGATGTTAGTCATACCTTTCTTCATGAATTTGTATGTTATTTATAAATTAATAAATTTGTGTTATTTATAGCTTTATCAATTTATATGTTATTTTAGCTTTATTAATATTTTTTTATTTATAGCTTTATTCATCAATTTGTGTGTTACTTATAGCTTTATTCATAATTTTGTATGTTATTTATAGCCTTATTTATAAATATATGTGTTATAGCTTTATTTATAAATTTATATGTTATTTATAACTTTAAAATTTGTTATTTATAGCTGTATTCATAAATTTATATTTATAGCCTTATTAATAAATTTGTCTTTAATTTATAGCTTTATTCCTAAATTTTTCTGTTATTTATAGCCTTTTTTACAAATATATGTGTTATTTATAGCTTTCTTCCTAAATTTTTCTGTTATTTATAGCCTTATTTATTAATATATGTTATTTCTAGCTTTATTAATAAATGTTGTTATACCTTTATTATTTTATGTTATTTCTAGCTTTATTAGTTTATTTATGTTATTTAGAGCTTTCTTCATAAATGTGTATGTTATTTATAACTTTATTAATACATTTATTGTTGTTATTTCTAGCTTTATTAATAAATGTATACGTTCTTCATAACTTTTCCTAAATTTGTATGTTATTTATAACTTTATTAATAAATGTATTGGTGTTTATAACATTATAGGTGTTTATAGCGATAATAAATCTTATGGTTTAAATAGGCGTGTTCGTGTCTTGATGTTAAGAATAGTGCTGACATCTTTGTACCAGATCTTGTTAATCTGGTCTGTGTTCTCAGCATTGCCATCCCCTCTGTGCTTTGGAATCTACCTTGTGGGATCTGTTAATAATTGTACCTCTTGCTTTTTCTCCTCGAAGTACCAACCTATGGGGGAGACGTCCCCCCACATCTTCCACCTCCCCACCAGGCTATTTACGGTGGCATTTGAGAATTTCCGAGATTTGAAATGTCCCTTGAATACCCATGAAACCAACCTGCTCCTTTGCTGGGAACCAGCGTGTTGCTGCGCATGGTTCAGGTCTTGCTTAAGGGTAAACAGCGATGTGAGCATAACCCCCAGGCATCCTCCCCGAGGCTGTACAGTTACGAGTGGCAGGGGGTGTGGGATAGGATGGGCAAGTACCTGCAATGCTGTGGAACTTCACCCCTGAACTAGTGCAAAATGCGGGAAAACTACTCCATTAGCTGGGAAAAGCATCGTCCTGGCAATACCAGAGAGGCAAAATCACCACAACGTGCTGGGCCCTGTCCCATGCCCACCGAGCCCTGCTCAGCACTATCCAGTACCCTCAAGGAGGAAAAGTCCCTGGATCTCATGGCAAAAAGCAGCAGGCACTGCTTCTACTCCAACCCCAGCAACGAGCCCTGCGGCTACTTCAACCTCAGCAACAGGCCAGGCACTCTAGCCATTCCAGCCGTGGTGACAGGTACTGGCACGCGCAGGCACAGCGCAGAAGCCCACGGGGCATTGCGGAAGGTGGGAAGGAGCTGGTGGGATTTTGCAGCATCCCGACGGTGGCAATTGATGCGCAGATTGACTCCACAACTCGTTAAAGTTGTAAAGTAGGTATGCTTTTTATTCAGCGCTGAGACGCACGGGGATAATTCCTCAAAGTCATGCGTACCTCAGTGGTGTTTCCCTGTACATTTATTCTCTAAAGTTATATATATTCATAAGATTGCACAATACGCCTATACATATTCATGTCCTATCCCCGCTTCGTATTATAATGCATATTTAGAACCAGTGGGCTTCTTTCTGTTCCAGGAATGCTGATACAACTCAGGACGCTAGTACAGTAATTTTTGTCCCAAGGTAAATAAGCGGGCCTCTTCAATATTCATGACAACTGCTGTCACAGCTCATAAGCATCCGGGCCATCCTTTGCTCGCTTCATTCAGCTGTTTTGAAAAATACACCACTGTTCTCTTACAGGGTCCTAGTTTCTGAGTAAGGACCACCAAAGCTATTCCCTGTTCTTCATAGGAATATAGCCAAAAGGGTTTAGTCACATCCAGAAGTCAGAGCTGCAGCTCTCATTAGCTCTGCTTTTAAATTTCTAAAGCCCTCCTCTGCTGAATCAGTCCATTCCAAAGAGAGAGGGGTTTCTTTTAACAGTTCACATAGGGGTCTTACCAGAACACCATCATCATGCATCCAAAGTCTGCATCATCCAGTTATTCCCAGGAACGTCTGGAGCTCCTTGATGGTTGTCAGTCGTGGAGTTTGACAAATGGCTTCTTTTCTAGCAGTTCCAAGTTTTCTCTGTCATCCTAGGTAGGAAACTCAGGTTTGGATTAGTTGGGCCTTTTGTCTGGTTATCCAATAACCATTCAGTCCCAGAAAATTCAATAATCCCACCGTCCACTGGATACATTCTTCCTTTGTTTCAGTAGCAATTAATAAGTCATCCACATATTGTAACAGAGTCCCCGTCTGAGTGGGTGGTTTCCATGACTCTAATTCCCGTGCTAACTGGTTTCCAAAAAGTGTTGGACTGTTTTAAACCCTTGAGGTAATACTGTCCAAGTTAATTGGGTTTTCCTTACTGTGTCAGGATGTTCCCATTCAAAAGCAAATAAATTCTGGTTTTCTTTGGCCAATGGTAAGCAAAAGAAAGAGTCCTTAAAATCCAAGACGGCAAATCATTTTTGATTCGATTTAGTCAATACGGATTAGCTATTACTGAATATCATCTACAAATTTGTTGATTCCTGAGATCTTGAACCAATCTGCAACTTTTCTTTACTGGCAAGATAGGAGTATTGTATTCCAATTCACATTCAATTAAGAATTTATATTTTAAAATTTATTAATGATTTTTTTTAATTCCCTTTCCTGCAACTTTAGGGGCTATTGTTTTATTCTAATTGGGCAGGCCCCCTTTTTTATTTCTACTTTAACAGGCAAAGCATTTTTCGCTTTACCTGGCACTTCAGATGTCCATATTCCCAGGTATACCTGGATTAAGGATTTCTTCTATTTCAGGGAGGTCCTCCTGTTTGCTTTTTCTGTTGAATTAAAGATAAACTCACAACTGCAATTAATTGATTTTTAACTCTTTAATTCCATTTTGCCTTCTTTAAGTGTTGCTTTTTTTCAATTTGTGCCTCTTTTTGCCTTTTTTTTTTTTTTTTTTTCTTTTCCTTGGTGGCCAGTAGCTCCCACATCTGTAACAAATTCTTTTCCCTTTGAATTAACGCCGAATAAGTTGCTCCTGTATCCACTAAAATTCCACTTTATTTCCTCTGGTCTCTAGTTTTAATTTAATCAGTGGATCTACTAGGGCAGATTCCCCAGGTCCTTTGTCCATGGCATTCTTCCCCCAGGGCAAAAACTCTCCACAGCACCCGGTCCCATAGGAGAAAAACCCACTTCCCCCACCTTTGCCCGACATTCCTCCTCCACCAGTTTCAAAACATTCAACATTTCCCCTTTGGTTTTCCCTTTTTTTTTCGGGTTTTTTTTTTTTTCGTTTTTTTTTTTTGTTTTTTCTTCTCACAGCTGCTCACCCTGCTCTGCAGGGGTTACAGATGCCTGCCTCTGCAACAGCACTTCTGGTTTTGTTGCTTGTTGCCAGTGACAGAATCTCCTCCTCCTTATCGATATCTGATAGGACAGGTATAGAGGATGCTCCTCTCAGAGGTATCTGTGATATATATAATTTTTCTATTATTTATTTTCCTGATTCAACTTTTAAACATCATTCTCCCAATATCACAGGCTGAACAACATCTCTTCAGCTTAGCTTTCTGGTTTTCTCTGTCCTTTTCCAAAGCCAAAATTAGGTTTTTCACTTTAAGAAACCACCCGGAGTGGCAGACAGGATGTGAAATTAGCTCTGCCAGATCCCTATCTGTATATAGTACTTCATCCCATTTTCCTGGCCGCCTCAAAACCAACATTAATTGTAGCAATGTATTATAATTTAAAGTTCCGTTTTTATGCCATTTCTCCTGATCACAGAATTGTAGAATTAACCCGGTTGGAAAAGACCTTTAAGATCATAAAGTCCAACCATTACCCCAGGACTGCCAAAACCACCACTAAGCCATGCCATTAAAGGCCTCATCTCAATGTTGGTTTTTTTTTTGAACGCTTCCAGGGACACATATTCCACCACTTCCCTGGGCCACCTGTTCCAATGCTTGATCACCTTTTGGTGAAGAAATTTTTCCTAATACCCAGACTAAGCCTCCCCATGCCCAGCTTGAGACATGAGATTAAAATGTGATTTTTTTTTTTTTTTTTAACCTCTCTCCTATAATTCAACCATTTTCATTGCTTTATATAATTAAATTCACTAAGATTTACCAGACAGACAATGGGAGCTGTAGCCCCATTTTCTGATCTGACAAATTTAAAATAAATAAATTATACATGTACACACTGCCAGAGGATCCTCTGCCTTAGGCATCAAACATCCTTAAAGAACTGCTATCAAACCCTAACACACGACAGACAGAAGGAGGAATCCAAGTCAGGGAAAATTCCGTATCAAATAGGAAAAATGCTTAGCAGTCTCCAGAGCAATCCAAGTCTGGAAAGGCAAATCAAACACATACAGATGATGACCATGGGAAAGAGTCATTTCATTGACACACTGTTCTCTTTCCATATCATTCCTGAATGTCTTACGGGTTTTTTACGGATAAGCATATAATAAATAGGGGGCTAATACTTGTCCTCTGGTACTCAACTTCAGAGACTTCACACCAAAATCCCAATTAATACTTTCCCAATCTCATAAACAATCACAAGCTTGGCAATGAATTTTTCAAAAGTAAGCTTTTTACACTCACAATATTTTTACAGATAGGAACATCACAGTCTTCATAAAATTATATACCTGCACACAAGACCTGATATTCCATACGTATGCATCAAGTACTCAATTTTATCCAGAGAAGTTTCCTATCAAATTTTACAAGTTAAAAATAACAGGGGTGTACATCATGCAAAATTACAGGAATGGAGAATTTTACAATATTTTATCAACGTTTTCTTGTTTACCGAACCCCCAGAAGACCCTCCCAGTTCTTTCCAATGTGCCAAAATGTAACCCAATGGGCTTTTCTTCAGAATTCCCTTATTTCGACCGGCTCCCATTTCAAACAATCTTTTACAAATCTATAGCTTCTCTTCCCTAGTGCTCTGCAAATGCACTTAAAAATGAGAGCACCTACACACAAGTTTTATGATATTCTCAGGGGTTCAGTAAAATAATATCTCTGGGTTCTGCAGATCAGTTCCCCTGTTGTTAGATCATAGTTTCGGTTCCAGCAAAATTTACACTAGTATCCACGGCAGGTTCCACTGTTCAGAAGTTAATATGCACCCATATGTGAGGCTACAAGCCTCTGGTACTGAGTGTAAAGTCCAGATCTCAAGAACAGGACTACAGATATTAGAGGTTATACTTCTCTTATACAGCCACTGGGGCGCAGAGAGGGAACTCTTCTTAAACCCCCATTAGCCACAGTTTACTTTTGTCTACTCCTCCCCCACCGCTTAAACGCTGATCTTTAACACTAACGACAGACATACACACACACAAAGCACTTAGGCGCAACACAAAACAAAGACGCTTCGTCCGTCTCCGGCCGCTCTCCTCGCGGAGAACACGGAACCGCGGATCAGGACTCCACACTCGCTTCGTAGCTGTGCTACGTCTCAGTCACACAGAAACACAAACACACATGGGATCCCACACACTCACACTATGGTTCCGCCTTACCCTTCTCCTGCTTCCTATGGTAGCAGGTCTGTAATTTGAGATGCAGCGGAGACCTGGTGGGTTCGCCTACCGGTTCATCTGCTTCCACTACGGTCATTAGCAGATCCTTCCTGGCTCCCAAAACTTGGGATGCAGCGAAAACCCGAACTCACCCGATCCACCCTCAGGATCGCTAGCGGCCGCTCTACCGGTCGGCGAGTCCCCTGCTTGCAAGCCCTACCTGCCTAGGGGAACTACGCTGTGCGCCAGACGTCTCTGCGCGCCTTACCAGCAGCCCCGGGCCACGCGTACGCCTTACAGGCCCCCTAAGTTTCCAGCATACCGTTTCTCCGCAGCCGGCACAGGTTGTTGTCTGTCCTCGCAGTGAGCGGACGAGGAGCGGAGCTCCTCCAGGCAAGCGGCCTGGGGCGCCTAGGATGTCCGCCCCTCAGCCGATCCTGCAGCCGAACAGAGACCTCCTGCCTGGCTCGCCAAATTGATGCGCGGATTGACTCCACAACTCGTTAAAAGTGGTAAAGTAGGTATGCTTTTTATTCAGCGCTGAGACGCACGGGGATAATTCCTCAAAGTCATGCGTACCTCAGTGTTGTTTCCCTGTACATTTATTCTCTAAAGTTATATATATTCATAAGGTTGAACAACACGCCTATACATATTCATGTCCTATCCCCGCTTCGTATTATAATGAGCCAGACGGTCCTCTGCGCCTGCGCAGTGCCCCCTCTGGTCATGGGCAGGGGTCTCAAGATGAAGTAAATGAGTCTTCCTCCTCTGGGTAGGGGTCTTCAAGATGAAGTAAATGAGTCTTCCTCTTCTTGCACTTTTCACCTTTTTAGTCTTTATGTGTGGCCTTAGAGTTTGGTCAGTGTCCCAGCCGTAAATCCTCTACTTCTCCCCTTTATCAGTAGAGTTTGATCAGTGTCCCAGCCGTAAATCCTCTGCTTCTCCCCTTTATCAGTAGATTCAGGCGTCTGCTTATTAACAGGACCGGAGGTCTCTGTTCTGCTTAGCAGGCATTTACAACAGATAGTCCTTTTGTTTAAACAAATTCCTCTAACCCCCTTGTACAACCCCCCTGTACAATGGTCAACCCTCTGTATCAGCTGCAGGTTTGGTTTTTAACTTGTTGTCACGCTTTTGTTCTTGGGGCTGAGGACCGGGGAGCGGCCGAGGGGACCGGCGGGGCTGGGGGACCGGGTGTGTAAGTAAGGGAGAATATCCATGTTGGAGGCACTATTCCAAGAGCAACCTGTGTAGAACGTGCCCAGCTCCTGGTTTCTCTCCTAACTCATTAGTCTTAGGAGTAGGGTCTGCACATTCGCACGCAGAGAGCTGGTGTCTCGGTCACCAGAGTCGTGTCCAGTGAGGCTATACAGGGATGGAGTTTTAGATGGGCAAATAAGTGAGGATATCCATGTTGGAAGCACTCTTCTGGAAAGACCCATATGTAGGATACGCCCAGCTCCTGGTTTCTGTCCTAGCAAATTAGGCTTAGGAGCAGGGTCTGGACACTGGGAGCTGGTATCTCAGTCACTGGTTGGTGGTGTCCAGTGATGCTTTACAGGGATGGAGTTTGAGGTGAGTAAGTAAGTGAGGATACCCATGTTGGAGGCACAGTTCTGGCGGGCTCCCTGCATAGAATGTGTCCAGCTACTTTTTTCTGTCCTAACACATTAGGCTTAGGAGCAGGGTCTGGACACTGGCACTTAGGGAGCTGGTGTCTCGGTCACCCAATAGTGGTGTCTACTCAGGCTTTACAGAGATGGAGGGTGAGTTGGGTAAATAAGTGAGGATACAGATGTCGGTACCGCTGTTCTGGAGGGATCCCTCTGTAGAATATGCCCAGCTATATCTTTCTGTTCTAACTCATTAGGCTTAGGAGTAGGGTCTGGACACCGGCGCTTAGGGAGCTCGTGTCTCAGGCACTGGAGAGTGGTGTCCGGTGAGGCTTTACGGAGACGGAGATTTAGGTGGGTAAGTAAGTGAGGATATCCATGTTGGTGGCACTGTTCCTGAGGGCTCCCTTTGAAGGACATGTCCAGCTCCTGGTTTCTGTCCTAAGTCATTAGGCTCAGAAGCAGGCTCTGGACATTTGCCCTTAGGGAGCTGGTGTCTCTGTCACCAGAGAGTGGTGTCCAGTGAGGCTTTAGAGAGACGGAGTTTTACATGTGTAAGTAAGTGAGAATATCCATGTTGGAGGGGCTGTTCTGGAAGGCAAGGCACCATATGTTGGACATACTCAGCTCGTAGTTTCTGTCCTAAGACATTAATTAGGCTTAGGAGCAGGGTTTGGACATAGGCACTTACGGAGTGGTGTCTCGGTCACCAGATACTGGTGTCCAATGATGCTTTACAGAGATTGAGGTTTAGGTGTGTAAGTAAGTGAGGCTATCCATGCTGTTGGCACTGTTGCTGAGGGCTCCCTGTGTAGTACATGTCCAGCTCCTGGTTTCTGTCCTAAGACATTGGGCTTAGGAGCAGGTTCTGGACATTGGCACTTAGGGAGCTAGTGTGTTGGTCACCGGCATGTGGTGTCCAGTGAGGCTTTACAGGATTTTAGGTGTGGAAGTAAGTGAGGATATCCATGTTGTTGGCACTGTTCCGCAGGACACCCTGTTTATAACATGTCCAGCTATTTGTTACTGTGCTAACACATGAGGCTTAGGAGCAGGATCTGGACATTCACGCTTAGGGAGCTGGTGTCTCGATTACTGGAGAGTGGTGTTCTATGTGGCTTTACAGAGATGGACTTGTAGTTGCATAACTAAGTGGGAATATTCAAGTTGGTGGCACTGTTTTGGAGAGCACTGTGTGCAGGACATGCCCGGCTATTTGGTTTTGAACTAACACATTAGATTTCGGATCAGGATCTGGACATTCACACTTACGGACCTGGGTTCTATGGTGCCTGAGAGCGCAATCTATTTAGGCAGGAGGCAGATGTACTTGTATGTGGCCAAGAAAGGGTGGATTGCCATGTTGGTGGCACAGTTCCAGAGGGCTCCCTGTGTAGGTGATGGGCAGCACGAGCTTTCCGTCCTGGCACATCGGGTTTCAGAGCAGGTTCTGGATGTTTACAGACTGTGAGCCACGATCCTGGCCACCTGTGTGCATTCAGCAGAGGGGCAGAACGCAGATGGTGGTTTTGGCGGCAAACAAGGTCTCTTTGCCGTGTTGGCGGCACCGTTCTGCAGGTCTCCCTGTGTAGGTGATGCTCAGCAACTGCTTTCTGTCCTGGCACTACGTGCTTGGGAACAGCACACCAAAGTGATTCAGCAGAGGGTCAGTGCCTTCTGTTCGTTTATGAGGGAGAGTTTAGTGCTGCCTTCTTCCTTGAGGTCTAAGAACAACAGCATGGCAGAGAAAGGAGCTAAGGAAAAGTGGAAGGGATTTGCCTGCTGTCCTTAGAATGGTATGCAGAAAGAAAGTTGGCTCTTTTCTGGAGGTCTTAAAGCTCTGAAGAATTACTTTGACCTGGCACGATGGGAATGGTAAGGAATAAGGGGTGGATACTGTCCTGGGTTTGGCTGGGCTACAATTGCTTCTCTTCCCTGTGGCTGGCGCAGTGCTGTGTTCTGGCTTGGTTCTGGGAAGCACGCTGGTAGCGCACCGATGTTTTTAGCTGTTGCTCAGTAGCTCTTCGGCTGAGCAAGGACTTTGCAGTCTCTCCTGCTCTGCCAGTGAGGAGGGGCACGGGAAGCCATGAGGAAGCAGAGGCAGGACACCTGACCCAAGGCAGCCAGAGGGGTATTCCATAGCAGAGCACGTCATGGCCAGTGTAGAAACTGGGGGGAGTCAGCCGGGAGGCGCAGATCGCCGCTCGGGTCAGGCTGGGTGGGTACCGCTGAGCGGGTGCCGAGCAATTGCGTTGTGCATCCCTGCTGGTTCGTGTTTCCCTTTTCCCTGTCTAGATGTAGAGGAGCAAAGTTTGTTGGAGAGCTGTTCATCGTGATGAGATTTGAGCTTTTGTCTTGGTGCTGCAGGTTTGGTTTTTAACTTGTTGTCACGCTTTTGTTCTTGGGGCTGAGGGACCGGGGAGCGGCCGAGGGGAGCGGCGGGGCTGGGGGAGCGGGCAGGCGCTGCGGGCCCGGCGGGCTCTGGCGGTGCTGCGGGTGCGGCTGTGCCGAGGGGGTGGCGGGGCCGGGGCCGGCGGGGTTAAGCCGGTCCCGGGCCGGGCGGCGCGCGGGCCGGCGGCGCTCCCCCAGCGCGGGCCGACGGGGCCGGGCGTTGCCCGGCGGCCGCTGGAGCGAGAGCGGTCGGTGCGTCCGTTGTCGGGGAGCGCCATGGAGGGCCAGCGGCTGCCCGGCGCTGTCAATCCCAGCCACTTCCCGGCCAAGCTCTGGCAGCTGGTGAACAGCCCGCGCTGCGGCTCCGTGCGCTGGGATGCCCGCGGCGAGGGGCTGCTCATCGACCAGCGGCTCTTCGAGCGAGAGCTGCTGGGCGCGGAGGCGGCCGGCGACGGGGCGGCCCTGGGCGGCGAGTTCTTCAAGACCAGGAACTTCGCCAGCTTCATCCGCCAGCTGAACCTGTACGGGTTCCGCAAGCTGGGGCCGGGCCCCGGGCCCCTGCAGGACCCGGCGGGGGGCGATGGCGGCAGCTCCGCGGGGGCCCTGCTCCACTTCCACAGCCCCCATTTCCGCCGCGACCGCCCCGACCTCCTGCTGCGCCTCAAGCGCCTGACGAGCGCCAACAAGGCGAAGCTGGCGGCCGGCCTGGAGCTGCCCAGCCGCCCGGCCCAGCGCTCCCAGCGCCCGCCCTCGACGCTCGGCGAGGCTGCCAGGCCCGGTGAGCTGGGGTGGTCCCGGGCTGCGGGGCCCCGAGAAGCACTGGGTGCTGCGGGGTTTCTAGATCGGCACCCCCGCAGGCAGCAGGCTTGCCTGACCTTGCTGGCGGCCGCTCAGCTCCGCCGCTGCGGGAAAGCCGTTGTCGTCCGTGCAGGGAGATGTGCTGCCCGCAGGCACGGGGAGCGCGGTCCGCGTGTGGTTCCGTCTGCCCCTCGGCTGCAAGACAGCCTCTGTCGGGGGCTGCAGTTAAGAACACCCTCACCCTGGCTCTGTGGAGCTGGCGCAGCCCTACCAGGTGAACGTTACTTCTCCTTGGAGGGTTGCTCCATAAGCTGTCGTTAAATCTCTCGGAAGCCACGGGTAAACCCTATGAGGGCAAGTACCATTTCATGAAACCGTCACCGACTGAGAGAGGAAACCAGGGAAGGTTAAAGGGAATCTCTTGGAAGTAACAAAACGGCAAAGCCTGAGCTTTTTCAGACTCAACCGGTTGAGCTACCTGGAAAACAAGCTGGCTTTGGTTTTGTTTTCCTTGACAAACTGAAGGACTTGTGATCAAGTGCTCTCAGAGTCACGTTCAGGATTTGGACATTGCCCTTGCCTTGGCTGCCTGTGTGCTGGCAGCACTGGAGCTCGGTAGAGCCCCGCTTCACCATTCCCCCTTTATTTTACCTAATTGCCTGATGTAACGCGCAGCACTCCCTAAACGGCTTGTGCCGCTTTAGTCAGCTCCTGCCCATTTTGATTTATAATCGCGCATTTCTCAGTAGCGATCACTTGCTCCTGAGGGTTTCGGGAGACTGAATGCTCCAGGGATGACTGTGTGTTGGCACAGCACTGGTGTTCCTGCGTGTTCAGGTGGTAGTGCTACAGCAGTTCCTGTATGCTTAGGTGTAAGAATAGAGTCTGTTTCTGGATTAAGAGTATTGGAGCAAAGGTGGTCTTCCCAGGGAACGTTGTGGAGCCTTGGCTCCTCATCCTGCCTTTCAGGGCTAATGAAAACTCCTTCCCTTAGTCCTTGTTTCCCTTTGTTTTGCAGGACTGGTGACCGCAGGACAGGCTCCTCAACCTTGCCGTCCAGACAGCTGCTTTCCGCCCTCCAACAGAGCGGCCTCGTGCCAGGACCCCCCTGCTTTCCAGGCAACAACTTGCCGGCAGCCTTCCAGACCACGGCAGGGTTCTGTTGGGTCGCTGCCAGGGCACGGGGCTTCCCCAGCTTTCCCAGGCCAAGGGGCTCCCTTTCCTGTCATCCACAAGTGCTGCACAGAGGTCACCTACACTCTCCAGACCGTGTGCTCGCTTCTGCCGCTTCAGCGAGGCGCTCCGGCTGGTGCTGCCCTTCCAGAACCCGGCAGCTGCGCGTCTCCAGGGCGGCGCTTGCAAGGCCCGGATCCAACGGGTACGGCAAAAGTTCTCCGCTTGCTGCTCGAGAAGTTCCTGCCAAGTGATGCATGAAATGTTTTTCCTCAGTGCTCTGTCACTGCGTGTGTGTATCTGACGTGTGTGCTCCCAGTGAGACGTGTGTTCCCTGTCCGTTACTTGCTACCAGCCAGTGGCAGAATGTGCTCTAGCTGCTCATTTCTTCTGGCTCTGATGAGATGAACTGTATCAGAGACAGGAGAGCTTAGAAATGCCTTCTCTGCAATGAGCAGGGAAGGACAAAAGCGTGTGGCTGAAACAGGTGTGTGTGGAATCTTGATTCAGCTGGAAGATTTGAAGTATTACAACTGAATTGGCCCCTTTGCCTTTGCTGGCCGAGCCCATCAGTGGGATTTCCACAGGTGCAGTTTTTCTTGCTGTTGGATCAGGCACTGCTGCAGGTGGCGAAAACCCCCAAGAAAAGGTGTTGTGGGTGCAGACCATTCTTTCTGTGCACCCTTCTGCACTTTGGACCCGTTCAGAATTGGTCACCAGTCTGGGCTGCTACACGGTTATGTTTGTTCTCCTCCCCTTGAGGGACAGGCATTACAGCGCGTTTGATTCACGAGTTGCTTTCACTATAAGCTCTACTAAGTGCAAGAGTTGTGCAATTTCTACTGTACTTGTAGCTTTTTATAGCCTGTGTTCTGGACTTTGTGTTTTACACTTGCCTCCTGCTTCACAAGCGCTTTTTCCCTTTGCGTTCTTCCTTTTCTTCTCTTAGGAGCTAGGCTCTTTGTACTGCGTGTTTGTTTCCTTAGGATCACTCCAGCAGGTTACAGCCAGTTCTCTCCTTTGCTCTCTCGCACTGTTTTTACAGTAGCCCTTTACGTTTCTTTGGTGGTTTCCTTGGCTTTGTCAACATCCTTTGGCGTTCCCAGGGACTGTCATTCGATTTTTGGCACAACGCAGAACAGTAATATGTTTGCAGGTCACAGAGTGTTCTTCCGAAGGATGTCCAGATTTCATCCTAAGGTTGCTCAGAACGAGCTTTTGAGGTAACAGGAGTCAGACGCGTGTCTCGTGCTGCTGTGGAAGGATGTCCACGAGCTCGCTCCCTGTTGTTTAGCTCTTGTGTTTGTTGCTCCAAACTGGACAAAAGTTCCTCGGTTTCGTATGAAAAAGGGCCCTAGGTATAGGTATTAAAATCCATATTGGTTATCGTAGCAAGTGTCTCGTGAGGAATCCCGCGTCGGAGTGAGGCATTGGAAAGAAACGGGTCTGATCACGTGGCCGTCTCAAGTCACACTTGTACCATTTAATTACTGTGAACACTGGCCTGGATTTGATTTCACCAAGGATTTCTGTCTCGCCCAGAAGGACTGCAAATTTTAAAGATTCTCTGTCCTGCCAGTAGTGCCTTTCCTTGTAAGTTCTCTCTGCGTGGCACCAAAACCTGAGACCCGCAGAAACTGCTTCATCTACAGAGCTGCTCTTTGGAATAAGATCCCATTTTCATTCCAGCGTGTGTGTGTGTGAACATGCAGGCGCCCTTCTTGTGAGAATTCCCTTTCCGTGGCGTGTTGTGTTGAGACAGTCGAGCAGCCAAATTCAAAAAGGTGATATTAAGACAGAGGAGAGTGAACATTTAGATTCTCTGTGTGTGTGTGTGTGTGTGTGTGTTGGTTAATTCTACAAGACGTATGTTTGATCTTTGTCTACACAGTTTAGAAGAAATATGTTTTAAGGTGGAGAACTCAGTCTTACAATCAGCGGGGAGGTCATACTCCATTTCAGGGAGTGAGCTTACGGAGTGGTTACTGCAGTGTTTAATGCAAGTAGACGATAGAACTGTGTGCCCTGGGCACCAGTTCTGGCAGTCTGATCCCTGCGTCTGAATTTTGCAGGCACCCCGCAGTGTTCGCCCCCTGCCCAGGGAGGGCCTCTGACTGTCAGCGCCAGTGCTGCGGCTGCGGCGTCCACCGACTGCGTCTTTGTGCAGGTGAGTGCAGCGCACAGAGAGCAGGGGGAAGGGAGGAGACGCCATGCATGGACCGCAGGGTTCTGGGCTTGCTTTGAAACAGGAAAGGGGCAGTGCTGTAATGCAGGTAAGGTTGCGGGGCAGCGGCATAGTGGGTGTCCTCGTCGGCGGAGTGTTTTTTCCTGTGAAACTGTTGTGCTTGACTTCACCGTAATTCATTCGCTTTAGTTCACGAGTCTCCATTTATCTTTGAAGAAAGTCCTTGCCTGCACAAAATGGGATTCTTTAATGTTGTAATACTGGGAATGAGCTCCACTCCTGTGCCCCAGACAGCTTGTGGCAGTCCTGAGTTTCATTGGACGCATGAGAAGAACCAAGCTGACTTTTGGAATTGGCCCCAGCTCAGAGCTATCCTATCTAGGAGAGCTCCAGTGCTTCCTGTCAATGCTTTCTAGAATTCTGGTGGAAATTACACCTTATTGGGTGGCACGGTTTATCAAATAGCAAACGAACCTCAGTAAAAATGCCAGGGCTTCCTTTTGCATTCCAGCAGCACGGAGATACTTTTTTTCCTCACAGGGTATAAGCAAAGCACGCTCTGGTGGTGTGTGTTGAGAAAGGGTTGACCTGTGCAAGCCTGCTCATCCAGTTTCTCGTGTTGCAAATACCAACCTTTTGTCCTTTTTGCATGTTTTTCTGTTTTCATACGAGCTTACCCGAGCTGGGCAGGTTATGGCCAGGGTAACGTTGCTGTAAGGCTGGAAATAGCCAAGAGCCAGTCGTGCCATTGATAGGCTGGTATTTATTTTTCACGCAGTGCGTCTTTGTCCTCTCACTTCCATTGTGAGCTGCTTTTCCCTCCAGCACATGAGGATCAGTGTGAGTGATGGGAAGTCACAATCGCATCAGTTCTGATGTCAGAAGGCTGAGATCAGTGTCTGGGATGGCACATGGTCCCAAAGGAGTCGTCACGGGGCGGTGGTGTGGCTAGATTGAAATGTAATGGCAATACACCGTCGAAAGGGTCTTCCTTTGAGAAGCAAGTCCATGGAGTCAGAAGAGATGGACTGGTTACTTAACCAGGAAGTGGCCTGGTAACTTCCTGGTTAACCACGTCCTGGTTAGCGGTTGCTTGGATTATGCGGCCGCAGCCAGGGAACTGGCACTCAAAAGCTGCTGGCGCATCTGGGCAGAGCTTGGTGGAAGGTCCCCTGCGTGTGAGCAGCCCAAAGGCAAGCAGGGGTGTAAAGCAGTGGTGCCAGGTCAGTGCCTGGCTGCCTCTGAGCAGGACAACACGAGCAGTGTACAGAAGGGATCAAAAGGGCTTGAGGTTTCCGAGCCTTAGTGTAGCCTCGATCATTTCTCCTGGAGCAGGGTGGCAGGGGCTGTGCAGGTGGTACAGAAGACAGTGCTTTGCCTGTGGATCTCACTGAGCTCTGGCCAATAATCAGCTTACGTTGTGTGTGCTCTGGGGCAGACACTTCCCCAAGGTCCTGCTGAGGGATGCAGCCAGCTACAGCATTGATCGTCCTGCCCTGCTTACGTACTGACCATCAGTAAGCACTTGCACAGTCCTCAGAAGCAGTCAAATCCATCAGCCCTGACTGAAAATGGCTGTGATTTTTCGATCTAGAAATTCCCTGTATTTTGTTTCTCGCAGAGTCCTGAATTGCAGCCGCTTTCTGCAGCTGAATGCCTGCCCTCCGATGGGGCACATCATGCATCTGAGGAGGAGGAGGTGTTGCCGGAATTAAGTTATGAAGATGTGTTTCAGTTTCTCAGTGACATGTATGCCTCAGACAGCGCCGACGTAGTGACACCGGAGCCTGCAGAAAGCTGGGGTGCAGAGCTGTTTGAAAGCTACATCAGTGCGGCCATAGAAAGCGCTGCTGCTGCTGCTGGAACGGCACAAGACTGTGTGAGCACCCAGGGAGCCCCTGAACACCCGGATCACAGCCCAGCTCAACTATCCGAAATGTTTGTTGTGGAAGGACTGTTTTGTGCGGAGCAAGTAAGTGCTAAACGGAGGTAAAACTCCCCGGGAAACTATTGAGTGACCTTTGGGTTTATTTCATTTGTTGGTGTGTTTATTTAAAGGAGAGTGGGAGTGTTAAATGCGGATCTGCGACGGAAGAGAGAGAGCTGACTTCAGGAGCCGAGGAAGAGAACAAAGCTGCAGAAGAGGCAGGGTCCCCTGCAGAGCCTCAGTGCAGGAAGAGAAGACACAGCTCACAGCAGGGTAAGTCCCTGCTAAGAGATCCTGCCTTTTTTAGAGGTGGCCAAGACAGCTGCTCTGAAACTCTTGCGGGAAGGGGAGATCCCAAGAGCTGAGTTATTGTCTGCAGTGCAAGTACCTCACTGGGCCTCCAGTTCAACTATTACACTCGTACGAGCTCTCGGCGTACTTGCCGACACGCTTCGATAGATAAGCTGGTGGTGAGGACTCCTAGGTGGACAAGGGAATAATTTCTATCAGTCAGTAAAAGCTGAAGCTGTGGGAGTTGTGTGAGAGCCCTGCATGTCACAGTATACAGCAGTGAGATGCAGGCTGTGGATGCGTTGGCTGGAGGGTGACAGTGCCACAAAGGGAACACTGACTAAAGAGCTGACTGTTGAAGTAAGAGGGGAAAACGCCACCAGGCTGCCCAAGTGAGTGCCCGAGCGCAACCTTTGTGGCTCAGATCACTAAATAAATGTCACAGCAGCCTGCTGATCCGTGTGCTGCAACACAGGAGAAAAACACGCTCAGATTTTCAAGTCGCAGGCCGCCTTTGGCCAGATTTGACTGGCCCTGATGGCAGCAGAGGTGCTGTGCGAGCTGCCGGCTGAGCCGTAGGCAAAGCCTGACGCTTCCTCGGTGGTGTTTGCTTCCTAGATCCGCAGGAGCCGGAAGGTGGAGCCTGTAAGCGGGGCTGCTTCTGGAGGAAGACGCCAGAGTGAGGAGCGTGTGGACGCGTGGAGCAGCTGCCGGCCGGTTCCCTCCTGCGAGTCCGGCAGCAGCGCTCGGCACAGAGCTGGAGCCTGGGTTCAGGGTCACACCTCTTCTCTTCTGTTTCCTAACCTTGAAGTTATTGATAGCTTTATTAATCAATGTATGTGTTATTTCTAGCTTTCTTCATTCATTTGTAGGTGTTATTTCTAGCTTTATTTATAAAGATTTATGCTATTTAGAGCCTTATTTATAAATATAGGTGTTATTTCTAGCTTTATTTATAAATATATAGGTTATTTATAGCTTTATAAATTTGTTATTTATAGCTGCATTCATAAATTTATATTCTACTTATAGCCTTATTTATAAATTTGTTACTTAGAGCTGTATTCATAAATTAATATTATACTTATAGCTTCATTCATAAATTTGTCTATTATTTATAGCTTTATTAATAATTTTTTTATTCATAGATTTATATTTACAGCTTTATAAATTTGTTACTTAGAGCTGTATTCATAAATTAATATTATACTAATAGCCTCATTCATAATTTTTTATATCATTTATAGCTTTATTAATAATTTTTTAATTTATAGCTTTATTCATAGATTTCTATTCTATTTATAGCCTTTTTTATAAATTTGTTACTTAGAGCTGTATTCATAAATTAATATTATACTTACAGCCTCATTCATAAATTTGTCTATTATTTATAGCTTTATTAATAATTTTTTTATTCATAGATTTATATTATATTTATAGCTTTATAAATTTGTGACTTATAGCTGTATTCATAAATTAATATTATACTTATAGGCTTATACATAAATTTTTATATCATTTATAGCTTTATTAATTTTTTTATTTATAGCTTTATTCATAGATTTCTATTCTATTTATAGCCTTATTTATAAAATTGTTACTTAGAGCTGTATTCATAAATTAGTATTATACTTATAGCCTCATTCATAAATTTGTCTATTATTTATAGCTTTATTAATAATTTTTTATTTCTAGTTTTATTCATAGATTTATATTATATTTACATCTTATTTATAAATTTGTTACTTAGAGCTGTATTCATAAATTAATATTATACTTATAGCCTCATTCATAAATTTGACTATTATTTATAGCTTTATTAATAATTTTTTTTATTCACAGATTTATATTATATTTATAGCTTTATAAATTTGTTACTTAGAGCTGTATTCATAAACTATTCTTATACTTATAGCCTCATTCATAAATTTTTATATCATTTATAGCTTTATTTATAATTTTTTATTTATAGCTTTATTCCTAGGTTTATATTATATTTATAGCCTTATTTATAAATATACATGATATTTATAGCCTTATTTATAAATTTGTTACCTAGAGCTGTTTTCACAAATTTGTATTATACTTACAGCCTCATTCATAAGTTTGTATGTTATTTACAGCTTCATTAATAATTTTTTTATTTATAGCTTTATTCATAGACATATTTATAGCCTTATTTATAAATTTGTTACTTAGAGCTGTATTCATAAATTAATATTATACTTATAGCCTCATTCATAAATTTGACTATTATGTATAGCTTTATGAATAATTTTTTATTCACAGATTTATTCGTAGATATATATTATATTTATAGCTTTATAAATTTGTTACTTATAGCTGTATTCAGAAATTATTATTATACTTATAGCCTCATTCATAAATTTTTATATCATTTATAGCTTTATTTTTTTTTTAATTTATAGCTTTATTCATAGATTTCTATTATATTTATAGCCTTAATTTGTATGTCACTTATAGCCTTATTTCTAAATATATGTGTTATAGCTTTATTTATAAATTTATATGTTATTTATTGCTGTATTCATAATTTTTTTATTTATAGCTTTATTCATAGATTTATATTTATAGCCTTATTTCTAAATATATGTGTTATAGCTTTATTTATAAATTTATATGTTATTTACAGCTTTATTCATAAATTTCTGTGTTATTTAGCGCTTTTTTCAGAATTTTGTATGTTATTTATAGCCTTATTTCTAAATATAGGTGTTATTTATAGCTTTATTTATAAATATATAGGTTATTTATAGCTTTATAAATTTGGTATTTATAGCTGTATTGATAAATTTATATTAGATTTATAGCCTTATTTTTAAATTTGTTACTTAGGGCTGTATTGATAAATTTATATTATACTTGTAGCCTTATTCATAAATTTGTGTATTATTTATAGCTTTATTAATATTTTTTATTTATAGCTTTATTCGTAGATATATATTATATTTATAGCTTTATAAATTTATTACTTATAGATGTATTCATAAATTAATATTATACTTATAGCTTCATTCATAAATTTGTCTATTATTTATAGGTTTATTAATTTTTTTTTATTTATAGCTTTATTCATAGATTTATATTATATTTATAGCCTCAATTTCTATGTTACTTATAGCTTTCTTCATGAATTTGTATGTTATTTAAGCCTTATTTATAAACATGTGTGATAGCTTTATTTATAAATTTATATGTTATTTATAGCTGTATTCATAATTTTTTAATTTATAGCTTTATTCATAGATTTATATTATATTTATAGCCTTATTTTTAAATATATGTGTTATAGCTTTATTTATAAATTTATAGGTTATTTATAGCTTTATTCATAAATTTAGGTTATTTATAGCTGTATTCATATTTTTTATTTATAGCTTTATTCCTAGATTTATATTATATTTATAGCCGTATTTATAAATATATGTGTTATAGCTTTATTTCTAAATTTATATGTTATTTATAGCTTTATTCATAAATTTCTGTTATTTAGAGCTTTTTTTCATAATTTTGTATGTTATTTATAGCCTTAGTTATAAAAATATGTGTTATTTATAGCTTTATGTTTAAATTTATGTGTTATTTATAGCTGTATTCATAATTTTTTTATTTATATCTTTATTCATAGTTTTCTATTATATTTATAGCCTCAATTTATAGGTTACTTATAGCTTTCTTCAGGAATTTGTATGTTATTTATAGCCTTAGTTATAAATATATGTGTTATTTATAGCTTTCTTGATAGGTTTGTTTGCTATTTACAGCTTTATCCATCAATTTATATGTTATTTATAGCTTTATGTTTAAATTTATGTGTTATTTATCGCTGTATTCCTATTTTTTTATTTATAGCTTTATTCATAGATTTATATTATATTTATAGCCTCAATTTATATATTACTTATAGCTTTCTTCAGGAATTTGTATGTTATTTATAGGCTTATTTATAAATATAAGTGTTATAGCTTTATTTATAAATTATAGGTTATTTATAGCTTTATTCATAAATTTAGGTTATTTATAGCTGTATTCATAATTTTTTATTTATAGCTTTATTCCTAGATTTATATTATATTTATAGCCTTATTTATAAATATATGTGTTATAGCTTTATTTATAAATTGATGTTATTTATAGCTTTATTCATAAATTTCTATGTTATTTAGAGCTTTTTTTCATAATTTGGTATGTTATTTATAGCCTTATTTATTAATATATGTTATTTATAGCTTTATTCATTTTTTTATTTATAGCTTTATTCATAGATTTATATTTATAGCCTTATTCATCAATTTATATGTTACTTATAGCTTTCTTCATTAATTTATGTTATTTATAGCCTGATTTATAAATATATGTTATTTTTAGCTTTATTCAATTTTTTTTTATTTATAGCTTTATTCTTAATTCTGTATGTTATTTATAGCCTTATTTATAAATATATGTGTTATAGCTTTATAAATTTGTGTGTTATTTATAGCTTTCTTCATAAATTTGTATGTTATTTATAGCTTTATCCATCAATTTCTGTGTTCTTTACAGCTTTATAAATTTATTTGTTATTTCTAGCCTTATTTATTAATATAGGTTATTTACAGCTTTCTTAATAAATTTATGTGTTATTTATAGCTTTATTCATTAGTTTGGATGCTACAGCTTTATTCATAATTTTTTATGTTATTTATGGCTTTATTTTTAAATTAGTATGTTATTTATAGCTTTATTTATAAATTTATATGATATTCATAGCTTTATTAATAAATTTATATGTTATTTATAGATTTATTCATAATTGTAGATGTAATTTATAGCTTTGTTAATAAATTTGTATCTTATACCTTTATTAATTTGTTATTTATAGCTTTATTAGTATATGTTATTTAGAGCTTTCTTCATAAATTTGTATGATATTTATAGTTTTATTAATAAATTTAGATGTTAGTCATACCTTTCTTCATGAATTTGTATGTTATTTATAAATTAATAAATTTGTGTTATTTATAGCTTTATCAATTTATATGTTATTTTAGCTTTATTAATATTTTTTATTTATAGCTTTATTCATCAATTTGTGTGTTACTTATAGCTTTATTCATAATTTTGTATGTTATTTATAGCCTTATTTATAAATATATGTGTTATAGCTTTATTTATAAATTTATATGTTATTTATAACTTTAAAATTTGTTATTTATAGCTGTATTCATAAATTTATATTATATTTATAGCCTTATTAATAAATTTGTCTTTAATTTATAGCTTTATTCCTAAATTTTTCTGTTATTTATAGCCTTTTTTACAAATATATGTGTTATTTATAGCTTTCTTCCTAAATTTTTCTGTTATTTATAGCCTTATTTATTAATATATGTTATTTCTAGCTTTATTAATAAATGTTGTTATACCTTTATTATTTTATCTTATTTCTAGCTTTATTGGTTTATTTATGTTATTTAGAGCTTTCTTCATAAATGTGTATGTTATTTATAACTTTATTAATACATTTATTGGTGTTATTTCTAGCTTTATTAATAAATGTATACGTTCTTCATAACTTTTCCTAAATTTGTATGTTATTTATAACTTTATTAATAAATGTATTGGTGTTTACAACATTATAGGTGTTTATAGCGATAATAAATCTTATGGTTTAAATAGGCGTGTTCGTGTCTTGATGTTAAGAATAGTGCTGACATCTTTGTACCAGATCTTGTTAATCTGGTCTGTGTTCTCAGCATTGCCATCCCCTCTGTACTTTGGAATCTACCTTGTGGGATCTGTTAATAATTGTACCTCTTGCTTTTTCTCCTCGAAGGACCAACCTATGGGGGAGACGTCCCCCCACATCTTCCACCTCCCCACCAGGCTATTTACGGTGGCATTTGAGAATTTCCGAGATTTGAAATGTCCCTTGAATACCCATGAAACCAACCTGCTCCTTTGCTGGGAACCAGCGTGTTGCTGCGCATGGTTCAGGTCTTGCTTAAGGGTAAACAGCGATGTGAGCATAACCCCCAGGCATCCTCCCCGAGGCTGTACAGTTACGAGTGGCAGGGGGTGTGGGATAGGATGGGCAAGTACCTGCAATGCTGTGGAACTTCACCCCTGAACTAGTGCAAAATGCAGGAAAACTACTCCATTAGCTGGGAAAAGCAGCAATACCAGAGAGGCAAAATCACCACAACGTGCTGGGCCCTGTCCCATGCCCACCGAGCCCTGCTCAGCACTATCCAGTACCCTCAAGGAGGAAAAGTCCCTGGATCTCATGGCAAAGCAGCAGGCACTGCTTCTACTCCAACCCCAGCAACGAGCCCTGCGGCTACTTCAACCTCAGCAACAGGCCAGGCACTCTAGCCATTCCAGCCGTGGTGACAGGTACTGGCACGCGCAGGCACAGCGCAGAAGCCCACGGGGCATTGCGGAAGGTGGGAAGGAGCTGGTGGGATTTTGCAGCATCCCGACGGTGGCAATGTCCGCAGAAGCCCCTGTGCTCCCAGAGCAGCAGTGCCAGGACAGGAGCTGTTGCTGGGCCTCCCCTGCCCCCTTGGCAAGCAGTGCCCCAGCCCCAGCAACACTCGGGAGCTGCGCTTCCTGAACCAAATAATGCCGCTTCCAGCTCGGTGTGATTCGGAGAAAACTCCAGGAACAAACTTGCCCACAAAGTTTTCAAGTTGACAAGCAGGTATTCTGTATTGCGGCGCTCTCACAGACACGGGCGATAGCTCCTCCTAACGTGCGTCTCCCTTACTGCTACGCAAGCCGTCCTTCTGTCGTCCCTGGGCATACATACATATTCATGAGGTTACCTAGGGATTACATTATTTTTAGCACCTGAGACCTAATAATCCTCCTGTCCTCCTACTTATCCGTTAGTTTAACTGTAGCCCATCCTGGACACCTGCCATTCCCAGATACTCCTTCTCCCTGCGTCCTCTTCTTCTAGACTCTTTTTCTTACAACTACGTCCACTGTAACAGTTTCTCTTGTACAAGAATTCTCAGCGTGTTCTCTAGCTGTACTCTATTTCTTTTTCTATGTATCACGCACCTCAGTAATTTTCCATTGCTACTGTTACAAAGCCATCAAACTTAACATTACTTAGAACTGATTGTAAAGGTTTATATATTCCGTTCTGTAATTTTGTGCCCCCCTTGTTTCAGTGCCCATATACAAAGAGCCCAGCTCCAACACTGCAAATGTCCAGCCTCTGCTGCCACAGCAAAGGGGCCAGGACCGGGTCAGTGTTGAAACCCAGCTGGCACCCAGCACCAGCAGCCACTTGCCCAGCACCCGGGTGGGACGGGGAGGAGAATGGGAACAATGTAAAACCCGTGGGTGGAGATGAGAACAGGTCAGGAACTGAAATCAAGCGCACTGTATTAGTGCTATTGCTATTCAAATAATGGAAACAACAAGCGGAGAGATAGGGAACCAAAAAGGGAAAAAAACACCGAGAGCCAGCAGTGATGCCCAATAGAGCTGCTCAGCACCCGCTGAGCGACACCCAGCCCGACCCAAGCAGCAACCCGTCCCTTCTGGGTGACTCCCCTCAGTTTCTATGGCCTGAGGTGTCATGGGCCCACTGGGCTGAAAAGCATTTCTACTACAGTGTATGATGTCTAAATTGGTACATATTAAAATAATATCTGTTTTATAATGATTATGATTACATGATATAGCTTATTACAAAAATAAGTGAGGGTTAGAGTTAGGGTCAGGAGTAGGGGTTTAGCGTTAGGGGTTAGGTTTTGATGTAAGCCACGGCATCACAGCAGGGAGGGGACAAGGACATGAGGAGTTTGGGGAATCCCAACGGAGTTTTGGGGGCTCTGGGGATGTTTTAGGGTGTACGTTGGTTGTTGTGGGGGTGGTTTGGGCTTTTTTTTTGAGGTGTTTCAGGGGTGTGTCTGGGTGTTACGGGGGTGTTCTAGAGTGGTCCATTAGAGCAGGTTGCTCCAAGCCCCGTCCAACCTGGCCTTGAACACTGCCAGGGATGGGGCAGCCACAGCTTTTCTGGGCACCCTGTGCCAATGTCTCACCACCCTCACAGGGAAGAGCTTCGGCCTAAGAGCTCATCTCAGTCTCCCCTCTGCCAGGTTAAAGCCATTCCCCTGGTCCTGTCACTGCACACCCTTGTAAAACACCCCTCTCCAAATTTCGTCTAGGCCCTGTTTAGTTATGGGCTTTGTAAGGTCTCCCTGGAGCCTTCTGTTCTCCGTGCTGAACACCCGCAGCTCTCTCACCCTGTCTTCACCGGAGACGTGCTCCAGCCCTTGGAGCATCTTTGTGGCCCTTCATAGCCTCGTCATTGTAGGATCATACGAGAACAGAGGCTGGAAGGGACCCCAGGAAATCTCAAGTCCAACCTGTCAGAAACAGGGTCACAACAAGTGATTCAAAGCTTGATTCAGTCCCAGCTGGAAAACCCCAAGGCCAGAGACTGCCCAGCCTCTCTGGGTGACCTGATGCAGCACTTGCCTGAGCCTAGGGGAACAAGTTTTCCTTACGTCCTGGCTGTACCTCTCCTGTGCCACTATCCCCCGTTGCCTTTTGTCCTCCCACCAGGCACCACAGTGAGGAGCCTGGCTCTGTATTCTCCATGTCCTCCTTGCCGGTATAGGCAGCAAGTCCCCGAGAGCGCTCCCACAGTGAGGAGCCTGGCTCTGTATTCTCCACGTCCTCCTTGCCGGTATAGGCAGCAAGTCCCCGAGAGCGTTCCCTTCCCAAGATCGCAGATGCCCATCAGCCTTCCCTTCTCCGGGCTGGACAAGCCCAGCTCCCCCAGCCTCTCCCCCAGGCACTGCGCTCCAGTACCTGCCTGCCCCGAGGGCCCGTTGCTAAAGCCGCTCCCTCCTTGCCGATGTCGTTCCTGAACTGGGGAACTGAAACCTGGATGGAGTATTCCGGAGCATGCCTTCCCTTGCTCTCCTGCCGTGCTCCTGGTCACACAGCCCGCGATGCTGCTGTGCTCCCTTGCTGCCAGGGCACACGCTGCCTCCTGTCCAGCTCCTGCCCACCCGGACCTTTCCCATGGGGATGCTCCCAGGCAGGCAGCCCCAGCCTGTGCCACTGCAGGGGAGTCCCCTGCAGGGACCCCCGTGTCCCCTGCTCTCCTGCCCAGGATACCCTGAGAGGCCTATCCCCCTTGTCCTATCACTACATGCCCTTGTAAAGAATCCCTCTCCAGCTTTCTTGTAAACATCCCATTAGGTACTGGAAAGCAAACTCATTGTCTAAATCATTGTCTGATTTATCATTTACATCATGTTCAAATCGTTATGAATTCACAGTTGAATTAAAATTCAATTATTGCTTAATCACCCTTGGATTACGATTGATTTTAATTCAGTCCCTGATTAATTACCATTGGTCATTAATAAAGCCCTTTCAGTTATCCCCACAAGGATGACTTCTCTGAACCATTCCCTTGTGAAGCACAAGTCACAGCTCCAAGTCCATTCCCCTTCAGGCGTGCAGCAGCAGATCCAGCAAGTGCCCCCGTTCCCCACTGAGGATCATGGCAGACGGAGGAGGAAGCACGGCACATCCAGACTGGACACAAACAGAGCTAAGAGAAGGTTCCCGAGAGCAGGACAGCTCCTGGCACAGGGACTGTCACAGCTCCAGCTCCAGCCTGCACCGGACTCCCTGCGCCTCCCGCCCTCGGCGGCGGGGTCACAGCGGGGTCCTTTGTGACCCGGTCTGTGACACTCCCCGGCGTGGTCGCGTCCCTTGCGCTGCCCTCCCCTCCTCCTGCCCACATGCCTCCATCCCGCGGGCGGGCAGAGAGACCCCGCAGCCGCCCCAGGGTGGCGTGGGAAGAGGTGGGGGCTCCCCAGGAGAGCAGCTCTGCGCTGGAGCCAGCCGAGGTGTGCCTGGGGCAGCCACTGCAGAGCGGGGAGTGAGGGTCCCCCAGGCCTGGGCAGGGTCGGGGCCAGGGACTGCCACCAGCTGGATGCTGGCACCGCTGGATCCCTCTTCCTCCTCACGCTTCCAGCAGGGGCCTGCGCTCTGCCCCCGCAAGGCTGCTGCAGGGTTACCAGAACCAGGTAACCAGCTGTCTCCTGCCCTCGCTCTTTGTTTACTCGGAGTCCTCTCCCCTAAGCTGCTGCTTTGAGCTTCGGGCAGTAAAGGCTTACAAGTCTTTCCACGCTCTAATTGTCTACTTGGACAAGTCTTTAATCATGTTCACAGCTACCTCTTTGTCTCTAAAACATTTCTCATGAGATTATCCTTGTGTATGAAAGTGACCCCCTGAAGCGCTGCTTGTACCAGGCACGTGGTGCCCGAGTGTATTTTACTGTGTATGACACTTTGCCATGCATTCCTTTGCTTTGCTTGCCCAGAGGAACAATCCTGCTGCGCCCGTGATGAGAGCAGTGTTGGGTGGGGAGGTGAGGAGCGAGGTGCTCAGTGCAGCGCTGGACCTTAAGGGCTGCTTTTCCTGCCTGCCCAGTGACTCCTAAAACTCACTGAGAACTCCGCCAAGAAGCTGAACTCGCCTCGCAGGTATCCGTCAGTGCAGCGCTGGAAACACCGCGGGGGATAGCTCCACCTAGCGTGTTTCTGCCGAACCTCAAGCAGACCGTCGTTCTATGACCGCTTAACACGCATATTCATTAACCACCCGGGAACCGCTTTACATAATTCCACGGCCGTTTTCACATGCGTACAACGACGTGGTAGTGTTCTTCTGGGAGTCGTTTACGTCTTCCAACAATCTTCATCACTTCTGGCCGTCCTCCAAACACGCGCAGTAGATAATGGTTACACCAGCTTAATTGGTTCGGTAACACTGCAGACATAATCATCCTGTCCTTCTACTTACCAGTTAGCAGCTGCAGCCCATCCTGGACATCTGCTAGTTTCAGGTACTCTTAATTTACACACCCTGTTTTTCTATCCTGTTTTCCTTACACTTATTTTTGTACTAAGGTCATAAGGACCCAAAACTACACCAACTACAACGATTTATCTTATGCAAGGATTCTCATTATGTTCTCCAGCTGCATTCTGAATACTTCTTTTGTGAAACATGTACCTCAGTTGTTTTCCATTGCCATTTACATTTCCACTGCCGTTGCCATTACATTTCCATTTAAAAGCCATCAAACTTAGCGTTACTTTGAAGTGAATTCACTTACTTACAAAGGATTAAACACAAATGATTATATCTCATTTTGTACTTCCTTGTCTCAAATCCCCCCTTTTTCTGCCCCCTTGCAAATTTTTTTGCAAGATCCTTTAAATTGTTGTTTTTCTGAAATATTTCCTTGTTTCTACCTGGTGCTTAATTTATTATTTTTTTTTTCATTCTTCCTAATACATCATTGGCTGTTTACAACATCGAAGGAAACACTGAATTGAAATGCAAGTGTCTATAATTACAATTGTTAATATTATGACCTTAGTAAACAGCTGCTTCAACCAGGAAATATTTGTTAACCAAAAGGTCAGTCCTTTCTAAATTTCCTCAAATCCCCATGAGGTATCATCTTTATGTTACCGCACAACTTCACTCATTCCTCTATCCTTTAGATCAATTGCAATTCTTCCACTTTGATCTATATCAGAACAACCACTATCATTGATTACTGAGCAACCTCCTCCTTGTGAGGCTAGTCCA